GGCCGAGCAACCGCCCTTGGGGCCGAGGCCAGCGGCGATCTGCTGCCAGGAACACCACTTGATCGGCGCCAAGTTGGGCTCGTTTCAGGCTCGGCTTACCTCCGCTGGGTATCACGGTGCGTGGACGGCGGCGGCGGCCACCGAGACCCGAGGGTCGAGAGGCGGGGTGGCAGCCTTGTGCCCCGCCAGCGTGCAGGTCACTTGCCCGCCGCTGTCATATTCGGGGGCGCTCGTGCCAGATAGGGCCGTTGCTGCCCGCATCCGCTCGAAGATGAAAGGCGGGTTCATTGCGATCGCCGCGTATTTGTGGGTGGACGAGCTTTTCGGACCTAACAATAAACGCTTGTTAACTGAGGTTGCCAGCTACATTCATCGGGTGCAGGCGCTTGGCTATGACTGGGTGCTGGGTGCGGATTTCAACATGCGGCCACCGCTGCTGAAGGCCCGGGCTGCTTCTAGTGGCGGCGTGGCAGTAGCCACTACGACTCCGACGTGCACCCAGAGCGCTCCTGGCTCGGTGATCGAGTATTTTGTGATGAGTCCGAACATGGCTATACGCCCTTCGGAGCCTGAGGTGTGCATGACCGCCAACTTGACACCTCACAGGCCCGTTTGTGTGCTGATGCAGGGGCCTGAGGCGGCCTTGTGGGCGCGCGCGGCAAGGCAACCGTGTCCCGTGCCAGCGCTGGCGAAGCCTGGCTGCGCGCGCTGCCCCAGGGACCGGGCGGGCTTCATCCAAGAGGTGGGCCGAGTTACTTCCGCCGACGAGCTCGCCACCCTCTGGGGCCGCATCGTGTGCGGCATCGAGCTGGAGCTGCTGGATAGGCGCGACATCATGGGGCCTAGTCGTAAGGACCACGAGGGTCGCGCTGGACCGCATGAGACGGTCTGGAAGCAGGTGAAGACGGTGGTGCGCACCAAGTTGCCGATGGCCGACGTGGAGCACGCGGCGCGGGCGGCGGCGGCGCGCTTGGCGCGGCAGATCAGGCGCGCCAGCCAGGCCCTCTCGACGTGCGTGCCGGACCTGGGCGAGGAGGGCGAGGACCAGCAGCGCCGCCTGGCGCGGGTGGCAGGAATCCTGTTTGAGGCCCAGGCGTTCATGAGCAACGTCGGGAAGCAGCGCTCCACCTTGCAGGCGCTGGACATTCAGACGCGCAGGTTTTTTCTTTCAGGCCTTGCGGTCTTTGGCGGCCCAGCGACCGAGGATATGATTCAGCGAATCCTGGGCCAGGCCGGTTCCCACCAGGCCAGGTTCCTGATTTTGAAGGACGAGTCCTGGAGGGCCTGGGTTCGGAGCAGTTTTTTGGGCGGGGCTCGGGAAGCTCATAGGTTTTCCAAGGTTCGAGGTCTGCAGGAGACGATCGAGGCCACCGAGCGAGCGCAGCCGTTTCAATTGGCTGACGCGACTTGTTCGGACTGGGCCAAGATCTGGTCGACCCACGGATGTCGAGCGCCCGAGTTCCCGCCCGATTTCGACGATTGGCCGTCGCTCCCCGAGATCACGATTGCCGATATGCGAGCGGCGATCGCCACATTCCCACCTCGAACGGCTGTCGGGTGCGTGAGCATCCACCCAAGGTCGCTTCGGTATTTGTCGGATGCCATCTTGTCGGCTATCGCCGCCCTCCTCATGAGCTGTGAGAGGATCGGGTGTTGGCTGACGGGACGGCCTGTTAGCCGTCTGGTCAGGTTGTCCAAGCCTGACGGCGGCCACCGCTTGATCGCCCTCCTCGGTTCTCTGCTGCGGCTTCTGGGCCGTTTGCGCAGGACCGAGACCGAGAACTGGGAGCTCGCAGCCAGGACTGCGTGCGATGAGGGGCGGGCGCAGGCGTTTTGGGGTACTGGGGGGGGGGGGGGGGGCTCTAGCGATTCTTCCTTGGACTTGAATCTTGCAGCCGGGATTGCGAAGGCACGGTCTCACCATTGTGCGTCGCTGCTGCTGGACATGGTCAAGTGCTATGAGATGATTAAGCTTCCCGTTTTGTTTCAGGTTTTTCGCCGGGTTCATTTCCCCTTCCGTCTGGGGTGGATGCTTATCCAGAGCCACATGGCCCCTAGGCGGGTCGACGCTTTCGGGCCCCCTCCGAGGCCGATGTTAGTTTTCAGGGCATGCTGGCGGGCTGCTCGGCAGCGTCAGCGGTGATGTTGGCGGTTCTGCTGCAACCTGTCCAATCGGTCATCACGCGGCTCCCTTCTGTGCGGGTTCGCGCCCTCATGGACGATGTGTCCTTGCAGTGGGACGGACCCGACAAAACCGAAGCGAATGTGGTTCTAGCGGCGGCTCGTGAGTTGTGCCGTGAGGTAGCCCCTATCGGCCTCCTTCTGCAGCCTAACAAGTCGGGGTTTGTTGCACCGAGTGTGGCCGCTGAGAAGAACATCACCTCGGCTGGCCGCTTGATGGGTTTCAAGCATCAGAAGCATATGCGGAAGCTAGGCCATGACTTGTATGGACGCCGCGTCGTTCGAGTCATGGAGGCACGTAGGAGACGGCAGCTCGGCAAGCGTCGGCAGAGGCTCGCTGCCCTGAGGAGATCGGCGGGGGGGGGGCGGGCCCCGGGGTTGTGGAGGACGGGATTGATACCGAGCGGCAGTCACGGTGCCGCTGTGTCAGGCGTCACTGATGCCACTCTTCTGTCGCTCCGTTCGCTCGCAGCGTCTCTCCTCGGGGCTAAGAGACGTTGTCATGTGACTCCGAACTTGTGCACGCACCGTGACAAGTTTTACGGCCCTGTGTTTGACGCCACAGTCCACTGTACATCGATATTGTTGCTGGGTGTGGGACGGCCGCGCTAAATTTTCAGACATGCGTTGTGTGTGTGTGGGAGCAGGCATCAACAGCTCTATCGGCTGCCCCGCACTGGTCTGGAGTTAGAGGGCCAGTTGGAGCTGTCATGCTCTCACTGAAGCGGGTTGGATGGGAACTCGCGGGGCCCCGCCACATTAGGACGGATCAGACTGTTGTTCTTTCTTCGCTGCGCACGTCTCCCTCAGATGTGCGTTGCTTGCTGCGTGAAGGAATCAGCCGAGCCCAGGGGATCCAGCTTGCGTCGAGTCCCCCCGAGGCCCACGGGCACGAGGTCGTTTGGGTCAGGGCTCTCAGGATGGGGTTCCAGAGACTCCAAGGAGCCCGTAGGGCGTGTCTCAGGGCCCTCTGGTCAGGGGCTATGTGGCCTCCAGCTCGCAAGTTTCAGCACGGCTACGCGTCTAGCAAAAAGTGTGACTTCTGCGATCACTCGCAGGGGACTTTCGGCCATCAGTTCTAAGAGTGCGAAGGGCTGTGGGCGGCGAGTGACGACCCAGATGAGAGCTCTGCAATGCCAGACTCGTGCTTTGAGCATAGGAAGTGGCTAAAAGAGCAAGCGTATGGGATTCCCCCCGACTTCGACACTCCTGAGCTGGTTTACGGTTTTCCCTCCCTCCCTGTCGCGATCCCTGCTGTCGCTGATCAGACGCAGGTTTTTTCCGGGGGTGCCGCGTCTGCACCCAGGGGCTTTCGTGTGTACACAGACGGGAGTGGCCTGGCGTCGGGAACCCCAGAGGCCACTCGATGTGGCTGGTCGGTCGTGGCCCGTTCTCCTGGGGGATGGCCTGTGAAGGCCGAGTTTGGGGCCCTCGCGGGGCCTGCGCAGACGGTCCCGAGGGCCGAACGCCAGGCTATCCTCCATGCTTTAAAGGTTGGGCCATGGGGCCTTGAAGTTGTATCGGACCATTTGTCGGCGGTCAAGGAGGGGAACTCTTGGGGCCCCAGACTGGCTGCTGGCGGAGGCGCACATGCCTCGGTTTGGAGGCGAGTTTTTGAATTATATCGTGGCAGGTCTGGGCGACCAGAGTTCCGCTGGACCCCGGCCCATCAGCATTTGCACGCGGCCCTGGAGGGCCAGGCGTTCCCCTGGGATGTCGTTGGTCGTAGTGTCGTCGATTGCATTGGGAACGCCTGGGCCGACTTCTTTGCGCGGCTAGGTGCGAGTGAACACCAGCTACCCGAGCTGGTCACTTCGCTGCTGCGTGAGGACCTCAAGGATTGTTACGAGACGCTGGATTTCCTTTCGCGGGCTGCGCAGCACGCTGCTGCATCAGCCCCTGACCTACCCGCGCCCGTGCGTGTGAGAGGGGACGTCATCCCCAAACTTGGTTTGCTTTCTCACAATTTGGAGGCGGTGGATGGGGGTCCTGGAGCGGCGAGGTGCACGTGGTGCCACTGCTCGGCGCGGACTGCCTTGAGCAAGAAGAAGCTCGAGCAGCCTGGCGCGAGATGCACCCGGTCCGCCCTCCACCTCTTTCTCTCTGCAGTGCGGCGTGGAGGCGTCCCTCCCAGGGCGCGATGCGCCGCTGTCCAGATTGTCAACGATGCCCTCAGGACGCTGGGGCTCGAGGCCTCCGCTGAGGCCCCGATGGGGCCGCCAGAGACCTTCGTGTTTGAGGGCCGTGCACGTTGTGCAGGCCGCTGGCCGCTACCTTTTATGCCGCCGGTGTGCGGCGCACTGTCTTATCGAAGCGCCGAGCTGGCGTAAGCTCCTCGCCCCGTGCCCTGGCTTTGTGTCCACGGGCCAAGACTGGTTCAGGGACGAGGTGCTGGCTGGACGTGAGCCGCGCCCACCGCCCGCTCCAGCGTACTTAGCGCCGTCGCCTAGCGTCGGTACTGCGTTGGATTGGGTGTTGGGAGCGGCTCGGCGCGCCCGTGCGCGCTTTTAAAGGGCTTGTGCTGGTCGAAGCCCTCTCCCGAGGCTCGGCCTCATCCATGCCAGTTCGGCCAGTTTCCGTCCTCGGATGCTAGACCTTGGTTGCCCCTTGCCCCTCTTTCTCCTTCTCCTCCTACTCGTCGTCGTCCTCCTCCTCCTCCTTCCTCGCCCCTCCCTCCTCGCCCCTCCACCCACCACCCCCTCCTCGCCCGTCCCATCTTTCCTCCTCGCCCCTCCATCCTCGCCCCCTTCCGTATCGCCCCACTCCCCCCCCTCGCTCGTCCCATCTTTCCTCGCCTCCTCCTCGCGAGCGGGTACGAGGAGCGCCTGCTCATCTTCGGCGCCAACGCCGGCGACAAGCCAGGCAGCACCAGCGGCCGCAGGTTCGCGGAGAGGCTGGTGAACGACATGGTGCAGGCCGCCCGGGCGGCCGGGGGGGGGGAGATTCAGGAGGGGGAGGATGCGCGCAGGAAGGTCAGGAGGGGAACAACGCACACAGACACAAGGAATCGTCGTTCCCCAGGGAGAGATGGGGAAATTCAAGAAGTGGGGGGGGGGGGGGCAAAAACCCTAAACACATGGACAAATTATCCCAGTGCGACCCTACCTAGGAGTTGGAACCCCTAGGAAAGCAGCATTAGTAGTAACAGTAACGCTAAGCTAAAGCTAAGCTAAATCTAAGCTAAAGTTAAGCTAAAGCTAAGCTAAAGCTAAGCTAAAGCTAAGCTAAAGCTAAGCTGAAGCTAAGCTAAAGCTAAGCTAAAGGTAAGCTAAAGCTAATCTACAGCTAAGCTAAAGCTGATCGGCAGTTAAGCTAAAGCTAAGCTACAGCTAAGCGAAAGCTAAGCTGAAGCTAAGCTGAAGCTAAGCTAAAACTAAGCTGCAGCTAAGCTCAAGCTAAGCTAAAGTTAAGCTAAAGCTAAGCTAAACGCTAAGCGAAAAGTTAAGCGAAACGCTAAGCGAAACGCTAAGCTGCAGCTAAGCTAAAGCTAAGCTAAAGCTAAAGCTAAAATTAAAGCTGAAGCTAAGGCTAAAGCTGAAGCTAAAGCTAAAGCTCCCAGGGGACTGGGGGGAACCGCTCCCAGGGGACTGGGGGAACCGCCCGGGGCGCTTCCCACTGCCCGGCCCCTTTAAGCTGGAGGGTAAGAACCCTTCTGGGCAGAGCCTGGGCAGGGAACATAGGGAATCGGTTCCTTTGTGTGTAGTTGCTTGGGTGTCCTATGGGGCCCCTCTTCCGAGGGAGCGTCCGGACCGTGACCGCACGGCGCCGCGAGCCCCCGCCCCCTGCCCTCGGCGCCGCTGCCGGAGCCGCCAAGCCGGAGCCCTATGGTGCGCAGGGCGCCGCGCGGAGAGGCCGGTCGGGGGAGGAGCGGTTATCGGCACCTCTGCTTCCCGGGGGCGCCCTCGAGGGCGCGACGTTATTCGCGCTTCGCGCTTCGCGCTTCGGCTCCGATTCCTCCTCATCCTCCTCTTCTCCCCTGGGAGGCGGGGGCGAGAGCGCGGAGTTGCTCGCCCTTCGCGCGGCGCGCGGCGCGGGGCGCGAAGCGGGGAGCCCTTGGGTGTCGGCACCTCTTCTTCCCCGCCCTCCCAGGCGGCGCTCGAGCACGCTCAGAGATGCGGCTCAGGCGTTCGACCTTCTTGGCCTAAGCGTATGCGTGACCATTCAGTCCTGAAAGGATTCCAGACGGTGCTATAGTTGGCAGGAGTGTCGGGATTTCGGGCCTGCGCCTCCACCTTAGAGACCATGTGGTGGAAGCCGTCTCCTGCAAGCGCTGCCTGCATGAAGCGACTGGGTTAGGAGAGGCAGCGCGTCCTCGTACAGTATCGGTATCTTCGTGCTTTTGCCACGGCCTGCGATGCGGCACCCGCCACGCCACCTGATGCGTCGTGTCGGTCGTGCCAGTGGCCTGCCAGTGGGACTCACAGCCCCCCTCTAGGGTGGCCGGGATGGCCAGGCACTCGTCCTCCTGCTGCCGCTCCCTATCTCTTGGTTGCCCTGCTGCTGGATATGATCATGCGGGCGGTTGCTGCGTATATGCGGCCGATCCGAGGCACACTGCGGGCAGCCGGCCTTTCTCTCGAGAGCGCACAGAGTTTGGCCACATCTGCAGGCCCAGATGGGGATCCGGACACAGGTGCTCCTCGCTGTCGGCCTCGCGAACGGCGCCGGCGTCGAAAAATAGGGGAACGAAACATGACATAAACATAACAACTCGGAGGTTTGCGCGGATTTCTCGGATCGGCGCTGGACCCCTTTCCCTGGCCCGCGGAGCGCGCCAGGGGCGGCGCCGGAGGCGCCGCCAGGGGGGTCAGCGCGGATCGGAGAAATCCGCGCGGAGGTCAGAGTTTTTATGTTTATGTCATTCTTCGTTCCCCTAAAGAAGGGGTACTCCAGATGTCGTAATAAAAAAGGGAGGGGGTCTGGACCCTCCAAGACAAGCAAGTTTAGACCCCCCCCCCGTGGGAGAACCCTCCAAAACATCGTACCCAGACCCCCCCAGGCCCTCCAAGATAGCCTGGAAGAGACCCCCCCGAAATGAGACCCCCTCCCTTTTATTACGAAATCTGGAGTACCTGGGCACATGTGACACTGGCGTGTTCTAAGCGTCTGGGCTCGGACTCGGAAGTGGTGGATGGTCGCTGGGGGTCCGGCTTGCGCAATCCGGCCTCCCCGGCGCCGAGGCGAGGGGCGGAGCTGAGGCAGTCAAGATCTGCTTGGTCGACGGGGACACCTTCGAACGTCAGCTCGACAGCCACAAGGTTCTGAACGGGCCTCCATTTGGGAGGGGCAGCTCCTGGGAGGTTCACTTCAGCATCGGCGCTTGCTGATACCCGTGGTCGAAGCCGGCCTCATCTGGCGAAGTCCCTATTTTTATCTGGCCTACTTCCATCTATTCCAGCTCAATTTGGATCCTGGACTGAGTGCAGCCTGAGTTGCTTCCGTGGCGCCTTAGTCGGGCCAGCACTGCCCTTCTCACGAAGATCTCCCAGGAGCTGCCTCCTAAAAAGGCAAGATCCCACTGGAATTTCGAAGCGCCCGTAGAACCATAGACCTGGGCAGCGCCGGAGCCTCAGCTTCCGACCGCGCGTGAGGAGCGCTCAACTACTCGTAAGAGTGACCCTTCGCCAGAGTGGCCTTTGGTGCGCGCCCGATGGGGCCCCCCGATCGACGAGCGCGTTGCACAAAATGGCGTCTTGCGCGCGTGGGTTGGGCCCCCCGCGGCCCCCCAACAAGTCGCGCACCAAAGGTCACTCCTACACCGCCGCCCCGAGTCTCTCAGGGTGGGGAGTGCGGCCTCGAGGCTCCCGAAGTTCGCAGGTCTTCCGACGCAGGTCAGGGGCAAGGTCAGGGGAGGGCAGGCTCGTCGCACCGCGCACGCGGTCAGGGCCCTCCCCTTGCACGGAGCCGACGCGTGCGCCCGAGGCCCACGTCGCACCGCGGACGCCGGCAAACTCGCACTCGCCGGGCGTCGAAGTCGCCGCTCCGGGAGCGTGGCTCCTATGCACCTCCCCGCGGGCCGAGGGCTGCAGGGCCTGCCCGGGCAGATCGCCTCGAGACCTCGCGCCTCGATCGCCTCGTGTTCCTGCCCTGCGAGACCGTGACCGGGGCGGAGGAGGAGAAAAGGAGGAGGAGGAGGAGGAGGAGGAGGAGGAGGAGGAGGAGGAGGAGGAGGAGGAGGAGGAGGAGGGAGGAGGAGGAGGAGGAGGAGGAGGAGGAGGAGGAGGAGGAGGAGGAGGAGGAGGAGAGGAGGAGGAGGAGGAGGAGGAGGAGGAGGAGGAGGAGGAGGAGTTCTCTCCCAGACATCCACTGGCAGGGCATCGTTGTCCAGCCCGCAGCCCTATGAGCTCCCGACCGCTGCCCCGGGGCCAGTCTCTTGCCCCGGATCCGTTCTTGACGTGGCCCTGGAGCCCGACAGGTGGTCTCGGAGCCCGGCAACCAGCCCCGTGGGGCCGACACCGAGGAAGAGGGCGTCTGGCGCGAAAAGACCGCAGAGACCGGGCCCGCTGCTCGTCCCCGGCCGCCCAGGAGAAGCTCCGGGACGACGAGCACGAGCGGGGCATCCCGGCGCCCACACGGCGCCGCGGCCGTGCGGGCCCCAGCCCACGCGCGCGCTCGCCGGGGCTCGTGTCTACAGGCCTCCTGGATGGGGTCGGAGATCGCGCCGCATCGCCGAGACGTCGCCGTTGCGGCTCGATGCGGAGCCCGAGTTTCTTCACGCGGTCGTCGCCGATGCATCGCCGTTGCATCGACGATGCATCGCCGATGCGTCGCCGATGTATCGCTGATGCGGCGCGATCCTCCGACCCCATCTACTCCGACCCCACCTAGGAAGCCACTAGCCCTTCGCCAGAGTGGCCGTCGGTGCGGGCACTGGCCCGCTCGCCTCGCTGCGAGCTGGCCCCGCGTGGCCCCCAAAAAGCCGCGCGCCAGAGGCAGCTCCTGCCTATAGGGCGACTCCTGCGTGCAGCCGCGTAGGCGCGCGCGTGTGCGTGTGGGCTTCTGAGTGCCCCTTCCTCCTCCCTCCTCCGCTGCCGCCGTGTCCGTCTCCCCCCCTCTCCTGCACGCTGGCCAATTCGCTTCTCGGTGCCCCCGTTCAGCTGTATCGCTGGTGCAGCCACTCTGCCTCCCCGCCGACGAAAAAGTGTGCGCGTGGGCGTCGGCGGGCGGGCGGGCGGGTACGTGGGCGCGCGCGCGCGTGTGTGCGCGTTGGGGTCTCTTCGCCGGGCGTCTCCTCTCTCTCTCTCCCTCTCCCCCGTGAATCGCGGTTTCATTCTTATTCATACGCTGTACGGGTGCTCATCCGCCTGCGCAGTCACTCTGCCTAGCCGCCGACGCAAACCCAGACATGCGACGTCCTGTTTTTTGCAGGACGGCATCCCTGGAAGTCCCGACCCTTTCCCCGGGACCGGTTTTTCATCCCGAGTCGTTTTTTGAGGGTCTCGGGGCCTGGCGAGGGCCCCCGAGGGTCGAAAATAGTTACAAGCTTGTCGTCCTGATTTTTTGTTACGACGCGAGCATGTCTGGGAGGCCTCGGGGCCGTGGACAATTATGAAAGGAGTCAGGATGGAATTTCTGTTCTGGGCAATGGGTCGGGACCTCTGGGGGTCGACAGTCCTGAAACAATCACGACGTCGGGAGTCTGGGTCCTCACCTTCCGCGCGGTCCGCGGTGCGGCCGCGGCGGCCGCCGCTGCGGCCTCGACGGTGGCCGCCGCTGCGGCCGTGGCGGCGGGCGTTGCGGCAGCGCGGCGCCTGCCGCGCGGAAGGTGCGGAAGTTGCAGGTGGAGGGTCGATGGACATTCGTGGGAGCCTCGCGCGTCTTCGAAGCTCAGTTTTTAGAGAGCAGTAGCGTGCGCTAGCGCTTGGCAATCGAGGAAGAAGCACCGATTCAGCGTCGATTAGCGTCGATCTAGCGTCGAGAAGTCGGTTCACGTCGGCTAACTTAGCGTCGATTCTGCCACGGGCCCGAGGGCGGTGGCCGTTCTGCGCGAGAGCGTCGCCGAGGGTCCGAGGGTCGGGATTGCTGAATTCCGCTGAATTCCAATTGGCGTTTGCACCGCGTTTCGGGCCCCATGACCCTCACTGACCGAACAGGCTCGAAAAGATACGCAGCAAGGTAGGCGAAAGTTTCCCGCCGAGTTTGGTGGCCGGGTGGGTGCCCGGGTTCCCGGTTCTGGGTTTCCAGGTTCTTGGTTACAGTCGAGATTGAATAGTAGGTCGACCCTGCCAAATCGAGGGTACCCTTGTGTCCTGAGCTTCGCGACCCATGCCTTTTTACATTCCTGTGGCAATGGGGCCCTCGCAAGGGTTCTGTGTCCTCTCGCGTGTCCTCTCCAATAAACCCCGACTGCATTGGTTCCGTGCCGATTTCGGTGGGTTCGGGGTTCTTGGGTTCCCTGTCGATCTCCCTATCGATCTCTTTATCGATCCCACGAGTCACCAAACCATACGGATGTGTTTTTCCCAACCATCCTGTGGTGTTGGGTCCTCGTTTTGAAGAGACGGTCCCCGCGTTCCTCCTCTCCTCTCCTCCTCCCCTCCTCCCTTCCCTCCTCCTTCTCCCATGCGTTTCACCCACCCTGCACAGCGTTTCGTGGTTTGATAGGGAGGTCCACCGAAGCCCCCAGTGGGACCGCCCGCGTGCGTCCCCCACTCCCAATGTGGCATTTTCACCGGCCCAGTACAGCGCTTCGTTGCCCCATAGGGAGATCCACCGAAGCCCCCAGTGGGACCGCCCGCATGCGTCCCCCACGCCCAATTTGGCATCGTCACCCACCCAGCACAGCGTTTCGTGGCCCCATAGGGGGCTCCGCCGAAGCCCCCACTGGGACCGCCCGCATGCGTCCCCCACACCCAACTTGGCATTGACACCCACCCAGTACAGCGCTTCGTGGCTCCATAGGGAGCTTGGGAGCCTCACCAAAGCCCCCACTGGGACCGTCCGCGTGCATCCCCCGGACCCGCTTTGGCATTGTCACCCACCCAGTACAGCGCTCCGTGGCCCCATAGTGAGCTCCACCGAAGCCCTCAATGGGACCGGCCGCATGCGTCCACCATGCCCAGTTTGGCATTTCCACCCGCCCAGTACAGCGCTTGGTGGCCCCATAGGGAGCTCCACCGAAGCCCCCAGTGGGACCGCCCGCGTGCGTCCCCCACAGGGAGCTCCACCGAAGCCTCCAGTGGGACCGCCCGCATGCCCCCCCACACCCAATTTGGCATTTTCACCGACCCAGTACAGCGCTTCGTGGCCCCAAAGGGAGCCCCACCGAAGCCCCCAATGGGACTGCCCGCATGCGTCCCACATGCCTAATTTGGTATTTCCACTCACCCGTTGCAGCGCTTCGTGGCCACATAGGGAGCTTCACCGACGGCCCCAGTGCTACCGCCCGCATGCGTTCCCTCCCTGCCCAGCGCAGCGTTTTGTGGCCTCATAGGGAGCTTCATCGAAGAAGATATGCATAATTGCGTTACCCACAACTTCATATGGTTGGGTCTTTCGCCAGGATAATGTATCTGGTGTCCTTATTTGCGATGCGGCCATTTTTGGGCAAGATCGGATCTCAGGGTGTCAGAGGCGAGCGCCACACATATGATGTTCCAACCTACTTTTAGCCTTGACCACCAGAAAGAACGTCAAGCACTGCGACAGTACCGAACAAGTCCAGGCTTTGCACGTGCCGGGCCCTGGGAGGCGGGCCTCGGTCGACACTTGTTCGATATTTGTTGGGGTGCTCGAAATTATTTCTGGGATTTGGTCTTCAAGTACGACGGGAGCAACATAGCGCTAGACCTGGAACGCCTTTGGGGTCCAGGTCGGCTCTCACCGGCTGCGCCTCGTCGTTGGCTGTTTCCGGTGGTGCCCGGCCTCGGCCTGCAACGGCCGCCGGAGAGCCGAGAGGGTAGGGCGGCCGAGGTCTTTGATCTATTCCAGGGTTGTCTTCGCTGGAGGCTGTTTTTCCAAAGGGGCTCCGGTCCCCCCTCGATCTCTCTTCACCGAGGAGCCCTAACAACACGATGAAGACGTAGCCTCACTGATGTCCCCATCTTCGCATCAGGGTTATTGATTCTTGGCTGTTTGGGTCGATACACCTGCAGAAAAGACCCCATGTTCCTCATGTTCCTGGCGCTCCTAACTTAGGTCCCCTCCCAAAGGGTCCTGGGGAAGGGTGCCCTCGAATGTCCTTCGGTTAGGCCGGCGGAGGGTCTCATGTTCTTGGACGTTCTTCTGTATAGGTCCGACCGTGCTTCCCCAGACCCCCAGCGTCATGAATCTGTCATGACGTGGACCCCCAGCGATCTCGACCCATTCCTGGGGACCGGTTTTTCGTCTTGGGGAGTTGTTTCATTGTTTGCACGGTCCCAGAGTCCGAAATGGGTGGCCCGGACACCTTTGGACACACCAACGGTGGCCTCAGGTGGAGCTCCCCATGGGGGCACGAAACGTGTCAGGGGTGTGCCGAAGTGGGTGCCGCGGGCGGAAGTGAGCACACCCAGAATGGTCTTCAGTGGAGCCCTGCAGTGGAGCCCCCTATGGTGGTTACGAACCGTGTGAGGGTTGTGTCGGAATGGGTTGCGCAGGCGCATGTGGGCACAACCAGTGTGGTCTTCGGTGAAGCTCCCAATGTGTGCTCGAAGCGTCGGAGGGGTGTGGCGAAATGGGTGGCGCGGACACATGCGAACACAGGCAGTGCGGCCGAAGGTGGAGCTCCCTATGAGGGCACGAAATTTGTGATGGGTGTGCCGAAGTGGCTGCCGCGGACGCATGCGGACACACGCAGTGTGGCCTTTTGTGGAGCTCCCTACGAGGGCACGAAGCGTGTGATGGGTGAGCCGAAATTGGTGTTGCGGACGCATGTGGACACACCCAGCTCGGCCATACTTCAGTGGAGTTCCCCTATGGGGGCACGGATCGTGTAAGAGGGTGTGCCGAAGTTGGTGTCTCGAACGCATGCGGACACACACGCAGTGTGGCTTTAGATGGAGTTCCCTGTGTGGCGGAGCGTCTGAGGGGTGCCGACATGGGCGGCGCAGACGCATGTGGACACGCCCAGTGCGGCCGCAGGTGGAGCTCCCTATGAGGGCACGAGACGTCGAAGAGGTGTGCCGAAGTGGGTGCCGCGGACGCGTGCGGACACACCCAGTGTGGCCTTTGGTGGAGCTCCTTACGAGGGCACGAAGCGTGTGGTGGGTGTGCCGAAATGGGTGGCGCGGACGCATGTTGACACACCCAGTTCGGCCCTAGGTCGGTGGAGCGCCCAATGGGGGCACGAATTGTGTTAGGGGTGTGCCGAGATGAGCGCGATTGTGGTACGCGGGCGTTGCCTCTGAGGCGTATGGTGGAGCTCCCTCTGGGTGCCGATATGGACATGCAAAGGGCAGAGGCAGGGATGGGAGAAGGGAGCGGGGGGAAGGAGGAAGGAAGAGGGGGAGTGGGAGAGGAGGAGGGAGGGATGGAGCGCTGGGAGGACGGAGGAGGGGGAGAAGGAGAAGGAGAGGAGAGCGCGCGGGGCGCTGTCTCTTCAAGACGGGGACCCGGCACCACAGCATGGTTTTGGAAAAAACAGCGTCTCGGACTGTCACCGCCGGGGCCCTGGAACCCATCCCTCTTCGGCATTCCTCAGGCCAGATCGATCTCAGGGTGGTGCACCACTCCGATCTCATGGTGGTGCACTTGCTTCACACTTGGCGTTGTCGCCCGGCTTCTGGCCCCAGGACCCCACAGCTCGATCCGTCCTGCGACATGCCGAAAAAAGATGGGCTCCAGGGCTGCAGTGGTGATTATTCCAAACGCTGTTTCCCCCAACAACCCTGTGGTCTCCTTCTTCCCTCCTCCTCCTCCTCATTCTGCCCCTCCTCCTCCTCCTCCTCCTCCTCCTCCTCCTCCTCCTCCTCCCCTCTTCTCCTCCTTCTCCTCCTCCTCCTCTCCTCCTCCTCCTCCTCCTCCTCCTCCTCCTCCTCCTCCTCCCCTTCTTCTTCGTCCTCCTCCTCCTCCTCCTCCTCCTCCTGGTTCTGGTTCTGGGCTTGGTTCTGGGCCGAATGACCGGGCGCGCCGCTCGTGTCGAGGCGGCGGTCGGCGGCTGGGCGCTTGCCTTCGGCTCGGCCCAGTCGTCCCGGGGCACGCCCTTCCCTCAGTCTTGCTCCTCCTCCTCTTCCTCATCCTCCTCCTCCTTCTCCTCCTCCTCCTCGTGCACTGTGCATAACTGGAGCAGCGCTCACAACGCATGGTAAATCACACTCGACGCCAGAATGATGTTGTAGAGTTCTACTGCGTGGGTTCTGGAGCAGCTCCCCCCTGTCCTCCTCCTCCTCCTCCTTCTCCTCCTCCTCCTCCATCTCCTCATTCTTCTCTTCCTCTCCCTTCTTTCCTCTCCCTCCTCCTCCTCTTTCTCCTCCTCCTCCTCCGCCTCCTCCTCCCCCTTCTCTCCTCTTCCTCCCCGCCCCCGAGGAGGGGGAGGGTCGGGTGGTGCCGCCGCGGCTGAGGTTCGGACAGCCGCAGCCGCGAACGGCGGCGCCGCAAGGGCAGCTCGTCCTCGGACAGCCCCAAGAGGTCGAAGGCTCCCTCGCGCAGAAGAGGCAGAGGATTGGCCCCTTTCGAAGACGCCTTCGGCGAGCCACCGTCGCCCCACTGCTTGTTGGAATCGCCCAGGTGGCCGAATGCGGTGGCCAGAGCTCTGGCAAGCGATCCGACCGTGTGTTCCCCCCAGCCGTCGCGGAGACCCTTCGGAGAGTGCGTTGGGGAGAAAGAAGGATACGTGGAGGATAGGGATGACACATACAGAGGAGGAGGAGGAGGAGGAGGAGGAGGAGGAGGAGGAGGGGAGGAGGAGGAGGAGGAGTCTGGGGCCGTCGGTGGAGCTCCCCTATAGGGCCACGAAACGTTGTACTGGGTGGTGGAGACGCGTGCGGGCGGTATCACTGGGGCCGTCGGTGGAGCTCCCTATGGGTCCACGAAACGCTGTACTGGGTGGGGGGGGACGCATGCGGGCGGTAGCAGTGGAGCTGTTGGTGGAGCTCCCTACTAGGCACACGAAACGCTGTACTGGGTGGGGGGGACGCATGCGGAAGGTGGCACTGGGGCCGTCGGTGGAGCTTCTTATAGGGCCGTGAGACGTTTTACTGGGTGGGGGGACGCATGCGGGCGGTAACACTGGGGCCGCCGGAATAGCTTCACAACGGGCCCACGGAACGCTGTACTGGGTGGGGGGGACGGACCTTCGGTGGTGCATGCGATGGGGCCACGAAACGCTGTACTGGGGGGAGGGGGCGCATGCGGGCTGTAGCACTGGAGCCTTCCGTGGAGCTCCCTATGGGGCCACGAAACGCTGCACTGGGTGGGGAAGACACACGCGGGCGGTAGAACTGGGGCCGTCGGTGGAGCTCCCTCCTTATGGGCCACGAAACGCTGTACTGGATGGGGGGGCGCATGCGGGCGGTAGCACTGGAGCCGTCCGTGGAGCTACCTATAGGGCCATGAGACGTTGTACCAGATGGGGGGGCCCATGCGGACGGTAGCACGGGGACCTTCGGTGGAGCTCCCTACGGGCCCACGAAACGCTGTATTGGGTGGGGGACGCATGCGGGCGTTAGCACTGGTCATGCGATCGCAGTCACGGATTAAAAGGGGGCGTGGATTAGCGACGGGTCCCGTTTCCATAGGAAATCGCCGATTGCCGCCGCCGAGCGCGGCGCGACCGACCGCATCATGGGACATCGCCGATTGCCGCCGCCGAGCGCGGCGCCACCGACCGCCTTTTGGGGAGGGCACCTCCCCGCGATCCATGGACTTGGCGGCCGCGCGCCGTTTCCATAGGAAATCGCCGATTGCCGCCGCCGAGCGCGGCGCGACCGACCGCATCATGGGACATCGCCGATTGCCGCCGCCGAGCGCGGCGCCACCGACCGCCTTTTGGGGAGGGCAGCGATCCATGGACTTGGCGGCCGCGCGCCAAGTCCATGGATCGCGACTCCGTGTCAGCGCGCGCGCAGCCCTGCGCGGGGAGGAGGAGGAGGAGAGGAGGAGGAGGAGGAGGAGGGAGGGGAGGAGAGGAGGAGGAGAGGAGGAGGAGGAGGAGGAGAGGAGGGAGGAGGAGGAGGAGGAGGAGGAAGGAGGAGAGGAGAGAGGAGGAGGAGAGGAGGAGGAGGAAGAGGAGGAGGAGGAGGAGGAGAGGAGGAGGAGGAGGAGGAGGAGGAGGGGAGGGGGAAGGAAGGGAGGGAGGGAGGAAGGGAGGAAGGGAGGGAGGGAGGGATGGGAGGAGGAGTGCTGGGCCCTCGGGGAAACGCCAGTCCTCGGTCGCCCGGCCCAGGGAGGGACGGCCGCGCGCGGAGCGATGAGGATGGGGGGGGGGACCCAAATCAGGAGCCTGCTGAAGTACGGGAAGTCGGAGGGCGGAGGGAAGAGAAGAGTGGGGAGGAGGGAGGAAAACATGACGAGGGGAGCCTCCGCTTTGCAAGCTCTGGGGGGCTATCCGGGGCTCTTTAAAAAAAGATTGATGTTGCCCCTGCGGTGGAAGGCGGAGAGGACATGGAAGTGGAGGACAAGCCGTCTCCCCCCACTCCTCCGTAGCTTTTTTGACTCGAGGAATCTGTCTGCCCCACGGCTCCCTCGGAGGGCAACCCGTGGGCTCCGCACCCGCCAAGTCTCCATCAGGCATTCCCGACATGGCCGCGAGCAGGCTTACGACGGTGTCGCCCAGGAGCGAGCTGGAGGCGGACACGAAGGTGAACCACCTGGTGGCGGCGCAGCTGAGCAAGACCAAGATGTGCGCAATGTACGCCAGAGGCTCCTGCATCGACCCCAGGTGCCGCTTCGCACACTCCCAAGAGGAGTTGCGCAAGGCGCCCGACCTCACCAAGACAGCCATTTGCCGCGCCTTCGCGCGGGGGCAGTGCCGCGTCAGCGGCTGCAAGTTTGCTCACGGCGAGCAGGAGCTTCGCGTCACGCCGAGCGTGTACAAGACGCAGATCTGCAACTTCTTCGCGCAGGGGTACTGCAAGAAGGGCGCCGAGTGCCGCCACGCCCACGGCGTCTCAGAGTTGCGGAGCTTCCAGGGTTCTTTGGGGGACAACGTGGCACGGTAGGTTCGCGTCGTGTCGCCCGGGGGCGACCCCGACGCTGGCGTTCAACGTTGGACGCCGCTGGCGACCCAAAATCGGCTGACGCTGAACGATCTGGCGTTTCGGACACGGCCGATCGTTCAAGGTTGAGCGATCCACGCGGTGTCAGCGACCAACGCCGGGGTGGTCACGGCACGAACCTGCCGTTCAGTCAACCCACATAGTAAGGGCGGGCAACCTTCCCAAGGGGACCCTTGCATCCGTGCCCCCCTGGGTCCATCTTCGACCACTCTCGCTGGCCGCGCCCCGCTCGAAGAGCCCCGATCTCGTTCGACGTGGGCGTCCGAGGCCCCTGCACCCTTCTCGCGCCGCCTCCTGCTGCGGGCCGCCTCTTCCCCCCCAGCACGCCTTTCGGGGCGCCTCCGACCGTGGCCACGCGGGGGGCGGGGGGGATAACGCGCAGCGGCCTCGCGCCGCGCCCCTCATGCCCCCTCCCTACCAAGCGCAGGCGCCCCGCTGGCGGCGCAGCCGCACGCCGAGGCCCCCCGCGGCGGGCCCGGCGCCGCGGCGGCGGCGCCGCCCCCGCGGGGCCCGCCCGCGGCCCGGGCGCCGAGCCCGCAGTGCCCGGGGAGGCCCGGCGGGGCCCCCGGGGCCGGGCCCCGCAGGGCGCCCGGGCGCCCGCGGCGCGGGAGGCCGGCCGCGGCGCCGCCGAGGGGCCCGAGTGGCACCCGCCCGCCGGGCCCCCGCGGGCGCGGCGCGGGCTCGAGCTGCCGGAGCCGATGAAGGCTCGGCGCGGCGCGCCGGAGAGCTCAGCGCTCTCCGGGGGGGGGGGGCAGTGCTTCAGATGACTCCAAGAGCGCCTGGGAGAGCCCAAGATGACCTCCAAGATGGCTCACTATGTCTCGAGATGCTTCAAGATGGCTCCCAGGATGCTCCAGGAGGCCCCAAGACCGCTTCAAGACGGCTCGAAGTGGTCAAAGAGCGCCCCAGGAGGCCCCGAAGAGGCCCAAATCCTTCCAAAACCCAAGGAGAATCAATGTTTTGAGCTTTCTCGCCTTTTCGCTTCCGATGGCCATCCGAGGTGGGGTCCGAGTGCGTACCCAGACATGCTCGCGTCGTAAAATTAGCCTGGCGAAAGACCCAACCATATGCAGTTGTGAGTACCGCAATCGTGAATATCTTCTTCGGTGGAGCCCCCTTATGGGGCCACGAAACGGTGTACTGGGTGGGTGAAACGCAGGGAGCAAGGGCTGTGCTGGGTGGGAGGGGACGCATGTGGGCGGTGCCACTGGGACCTTGACCTTCCGTGGAGCTCCCTATGGGGCCACGAAGCGCTGTACTGATTGGGTGAAGCGCAGGGAGCAAGGGGTGTGCTGGGTAGTGGCGGATGCATGTGGGCGGTGCCACTGGGACCGTCGGTGGAGCCTCCTTTATGGGGCGACGGAACGTTGTATTGGGTGGGTGGAACGCAGGGAGCAAAGGCTGTGTTGGGTTGTGGCGGACGCATGCGGGCGGTCACACTGGGGGCTTCGGTGGGGCCCCTTATGGGGCCACGAAGCGCTGTACTGGGTGGGTGAAACGAAGGGAGCAATGGCTGTACTGGATGGTGCCACTGGGACCTTCTGTGGAGCTCCCCATGGGGCCGCGAAGCGCTGTACTGGGTGGGTGAAGCGCAGGGCGCAAGGGTTGTGCGGGGTGATGACGGACGCATGCGGGGGGTGCCATTGGGATCTTCGGTGGAGCTCCCTGTGGGGCCACGAAACGCTGTACTGGGTGGGCGAAGCGCAGGGAGCAAGGGCTGTGCTGGGTGGTGGTGGACGCATGCGGGCGGTGCCACTGGGACCGTCGGTGGAGCCCCCAATTGGGCCACGAAACGTTGTATTGGGTGGGTGAAACGTAGTGAGCAAGGGCTGTGCTGGGTTGTGGCGGACGCATGCGGGCGGTTCCGCTGGGGGTTTCGGTGGAGCCCCGTTTGGGGCCAAGAAACGCTGTGCTGAGTGGGTGAAACGCATGGAAAAAGGAGGAGGGAGGGGAGGAGTGGGAGGAGGAGGAGGAGAGGAGAAGAGGAAAAGAGGAACGCGGGGACCGTGTCTTCAAAACGAGGACCCAACACCACAGGATGGTTGGGAAAACTCAGGGCGGCCAGTTTTGAACTATTTTCGACCCTCGGGGGCCCTCGCCGGGCCCCGGGACCGTCAAACAACGACTCAGGATGAAACACCGGTCCCGGGGAAAGGGTCAGGGACGCCGCGGCGTCCTGAAAAAATCCGGACGTCGCATGTCTGGGAGTGCGTAGATGGGGTCGGAGGGTCGCGCCGCGTCGGCGCTGCATTGGCGAGGCGGCTCGTTTTGTGGAGCCCGAGGTGCTCCACGCCGACGTCGCCGATGCATCACCCACGTCGACGATGCATCGCCGGTGCATCGCCGATGCATCGCCGATGTATCGGCGATGCGGCGCGATCCTCCGACCCCATCTGCTCCGACACCGTCTGAGAAGCCTCTACAGGCCCCCATCGAGTCAGGAAGAAACGCGGCGGACGGTGCTCGCGGCTCTCAGCTTCTGGGGGCGCCCTTGCCGGGCCTCGGGGCCGTGAGAACGGGGCCCGGGAGGACAGGACAGGTGCCGGGGAAGAGGTCGAGGCTTCTGGGGGTCGACGTCCCGAACAAAACCATGGCGTCGGGGGCACGGGAGGAGGGCAAGCCGAGGTGGTATACGGTCAGGAACTCTGGCTCCGCGCGCCGCGCCGCCCTCTCGGGCCCACCACGCTCCAGCGCGACGCACTGTACTCTCCACGCCCCAGTCCCCACGACGACCAATGGAGAGGAACCATGTTGCCGAATAATTCCCAGATGCCTAAAACATGCTCAAAACATGTTTCAAGCATGGTAAACACATGCTGTAACACATCTCAGAGCATGGTTCCAGCTTATTTGACACGTTCTTAATTCAACGATGGGACTGTTAGGGTGTCAATTGTCACGGCACCCACAACAACACCCCGAGCGTTGCCAAGCCTCCCGCCCCGCGGAGCGGACTGGCACGCCATATTCGCCTGCAGGGCGCGTAGCGTGTCGTCGGGGCCGCCGCCGCGGCACGCCGTAGCAGCAGCACGGCCTGGCCGCGGCTGGCCGTCGCGGGCCCCCCCCCGTCGCCACGGCGGGGCGCTGCTCGGGGAGCTGGTGCGTTTGGAGCCCCAGGATCATGATGTTCCAGCCTACTTCAGCCTTGGCCACCAGAAATATTTTCGAGCATCAGGAAAGTACCGAAACGTGAAGGTTTTCACGTGTCGGGCCCTGGGAGGCGATCTTCGTTCGACGCTGTTTCGACACTCTTCTGGGTGCTCGAAATTAGTTCTGGGATCTGGTCCTTAAGCACGATGGAAGCAACGTAATCCCAGGATCGGGCCGGACGAACGGGGGGGGTAGGAAAAGGGGGGGCTACGAAATCTGCTGCATGCGGCTGGTGTCGGCCCCGCCGCGGGGCCCATTCCTCGAGACACGGGCGCTTCCCGGAGCTGGGAGGCGCTGGGAAATTCAGCTATACGTGAGCTGATCCTCTACCCTGCCCTTTGCTATCTCCCCCTTTCGTTGCCCCCAGCAGGAGGGGTCTGGGGGCCGGTTTTGAATTGCCGCTGCCTCAACCCGCCCTGCTCCGAGGAGTGGCCCTTCGCCTGAGTGCCCTCCTGGTGCGGGACCAAGGGGCTCGCTTCAGCGCTGGTCTACCCTCCCTCGCGGCGGCCGCGCCATGCCGCGCACCAAAAGGTGCCACGCCTGCCTCCGTGGCCATTCTGGCTCAAGGGCTGACTTCGGCCTCGACTGCCACAGGCCAACGGGGCCTGACCCCACCCCAGCCCCCAGGCCCGACCCGGCCCGCCAATGTGCCGCGGCGGCTTGCTCCTGCTGGCCGCGGCTGCCCAGTGCGCTGCGGCCCCCGGCGCCGGCGACCTCGCCTCGGGAGGCGCGCCGCGCTCGGAGGCGGAGGCGGAGGGCCAGCAGGAGTGCGAGCACGCGGCCATGCGCGTGCAGGCCCTGCAGACGCGCTCGTCGCTGGCGGGCGCGCGCTCGCACGAGGACCCCGAGCCCGAGGCCGCGGACCCTGGCCCCAAGCCCCTGGGGCCTGCGGATCTGGACATGCGGGAGTTGACCGGGTACGCGGAGGGCAACCCGTACGTGCCCGGGCCCAACGTCTACCTCAAGGAGATGGTGGACCCGAGCAATTGTTGGGGCTATTGCCTGGACATCGCTGGGTCTCCACCCAAGCCCCTCTGCGAGTCGGTGCAGGGCCACTCCTGCAAGACCGAGGGCGAGGACACCCAGTTCACATATGATATCGAGAAGCATGAGATTCGTTCGGTCAACTTCAACCACGAGTGCGACGCGCTGTATAGCGGGAACAACAGCGTCAGGGTTTGGAAGGCCGCCGTCGACAACACCAAGCAGGCTTGCCTCCAGGTCGACGGGGACTTTGTGGCGGGCGCCACCCTGAGCATGGGTAAGTGCGACGGCCAAGGGCAGCAGAAGTTCATCTATACGCCCAAGATGCAATTTGCCGTCGGGGACGGCACCCTCTGCCTCGTCCTTGGCACCGAGAGGGAGGCCTTGCCGGACATGATGATGCGCTCCGCCGAGCTCCAGAGGTGCGATTCGTGGCCGTCCGAGCTGTCCACGTGGGAGGTCCTCTTGGAGGACCACGTGCCGCTCTCGTCGCTGCAGTGAGCGGCGACCGCTGCTCTTCCTTGGCACCGAGAGGGAGGCCTTGCCGGACATGGTGATGCGCTCCGCCGAGCTCCAGAGGTGCGATTCGTGGCCGTCCGAGCTGTCCACGTGGGAGGTCCTCTTGGAGGACCACGTGCCGCTCTCGTCGCTGCAGTGAGCGGCGACCGCTGCTCTTCCTTTTCCCCCCTGGCGGACTCCTGGGGGAATTCGTTTGTTTTTTTCCCACACGCACTATTGTAGGCATGTCTCTCATGAGTTTTTGACAGTCTACGGTAGTCTGCGGTATTCATGGAGGCGGTCCTTCACGACGAGGTGTTGCCCTTCATGCAATTTTTAGCTATGTTGGTGTATTGCCACTAGCACGTCACCGTAGTCTACTGGAACAGTGTAGTTCGCTCGACGCCATCGTGTCGACGGAGGAATAAAAAAAAGGTGCCACGCTTGCCCAGGGCCGTTCTTGCGTACACCCATCAGGCACTGTAAGACAACGCGTTCATGTTTATGGACTCCAGATTTCGCGCAACAGCATCAAGAACCTGGGCTGGACCCTAGGCGTTTTGTTGGACCTTCTTTCTGCGCAGAGTTTACCCGCCTGGCACGTATCCCTATCCCTATGAGTGGCGTCGCCTCATCTCGATGCCGATCTTAAGGATTCCCCCAGTTTCTGAAGGCATATCCCAGAGATTGTCGTCGCCTTTGGCTTGCCAAATTTTGGGGATAGACATAAGCTCGAGGCTGGTGAAGAGTGTCTTTGTATATCTGGAAGATGAAATACTGTTTCTGACAACGATTGGGGTGGAACCGCTTTTCTCAGCGTCGAATGCTCTTCAATTCCGAGCTGGGGTGTATGTTTAACTCGGGCGTGTCCCTATACAGGAGGAATATTTAGAAGTAGTCAACACATAGTCTGGTGAAGATGTTCCCATCAGGTTTAATCACTGTTGGATAGTTGTTTGATCATGTTTCTTCGTTGTCCCAAATCTGCCTGTTGGGGGACACGCCCGACCTAAGTGTAGGTGCGGCTGCCCGAGCCCGGGCCCCACCTGCAGCAGCCGCTCTTCCGCCCCAGCCCGCCGCCCGCCGCCGCCGGCCTGGCCGCCCGCGACGGCGGCGTGGCCGCGGCCGCGCTGGCGGCGGCGCGTGCGGCGCGGGAGCACTCCGCGGCCGCGAGCGCCGCGTACGAGGTTCTCGGGCCTCCAAAGTGGGGTCGAAGCAGACGACGACAACGCCGATGACGACGACATCGACGACGACAAGGACGACGACCGCGGTGGCCGCACGCGGGTTTGGGCTGCCCTCGGGTCGGGGCACACGTCGACGCCCTAGGCCTCCTGAAGGGGGTCCGAGTAGATGGGATCGGAGCATCGCGCCGTATCGAGGATGCATCGGTGATGCGGCTCGATGTGGAGCTATTGTGTCTCTCCACGCTGGCGTCGCCGATGCATCGACGATGCGTCGGAGATGCGGCGCGACCCCTCGACCCCACCTACAGTCAACGCGCCCAGTAAGGACGCGCGCCTTCACCTATAGGGTGCCCTTGTGTCCTCGCCTCTGCGGCCCGCCCTTTGCCGTTTGCGCTGGTCGCCCGCCGCCCGACAGCCCGCCGACTGCGGCCTCCCGGGCTCCTGCGTCCATGCCGCCCGTCCCGCATGCACGCCCTGACCGCACTCCGACCCCATCTGGGAGGCCCCCAGAGGTAGGGCGACGAGATCTATACATATCCACTGCTCCTGGCCAAGCCCATGGGTCCAGGAGCGGTGTATATGTCCCCCTGGCTAGGCCACGAGGGCGTATACACCGCTCTCGGGCCCAGGATGGGCCTGGCCAGGAGCAGTGGATATGTATAGATCTCGTAGCCCTAAGAGGTGGCGGCGAAGCTGGCCGCGGCGGTGGTGTTCGGGCAGCAGGAGGGCCGGGCCCCGCCGGGTCGCGACGGGCTTCGCGTCCTGCACGAGCTCGCGCTGCTCGGCATCGGCGGGCACGGGGGCTGCCCGGCGCGGGCGGAGGACGGGCTGCTGCACCTGGCCAAGGCGCTCTCCGTGGAGTCGCCGCCGGGGACGCCTCCCGCTTGCCGCTCGGGCAGGCCGGGTTCGCCGTGGCATCCTGCGGCGCGCTCGTCTTCGACTGCCTGGGTGGTGTGAGCGCAGCTTGGGGCCCGGGGCGCCCAGTGCCCCTGCCTCTGCCCGGCGTGGGTGCATGGCCGACGTCGGGGCAGAGAGAGAGAGAGCGTCCATGTGCTGAGGAGCTGAGGAGGGGGGGGTAGAGGGGGCGGCCGTTCTTGGGAGGGCGAGAGAAGAGGAAGCGGAGGAGGATGGCGGGGAGGATCTTGCGACGTCGTGCGCGTCCTACAGCACACGCGCATCGGACGCACCTCAGGCACGGTACGCACGTCACGAATAGTACGAAGTACCGTACTACGAGTTCCTGGTGGGATTGCAGCCTCAGAGCAGGTTTTGTTTAGATCTTGTTCAGGATCTGGACTGGGGGTGTGGCCCACTCTTTCAAGTCGATGCCAGTATCTCTCTGCCAGCTCTTAGGGTTGGTTGCGATCGCAGTTGTTACTCCTAGTTGGTGGCTGCTGAGGCCACGGTATTGTTTTATGTCGTTAACTCCGTCGTCCGAAGGAGTTTTGGCAGTCGACAGTGCGCTCTTAGGTATCGCTGTTTGGAGATTCGCTGTTGGGTGTGCTGGCCCCTCCCAACTTAGAGGGAGAATACACAGGTTGGCACAACGACACGTTTCTCGAGCTGCGCATGATGAGCGGCAGTGTCGCCTGGTGATCCGACGAATCTTCCATGCAATGCCTTCCTTCTCTGCAGGGGGCAGTCAGCGGTACGAACCCTGACTGACTTTTTTGTTGAACGCTGAACCCTGGTGGTGTCGAGCACCCCTTCGGCTCGGCTGCCCGCTGAGACTGCGGAGGGCCTCTCCCTGGGGGATCCAGGGAGGGCCCTGGGTTAGTGTCTCTCGCTTGGCGGCCTCTCTCGTTCTATCGCTCGGACCGTCGGACCGCCCGTTGCGCGTTGGGAGACAACGGGCCCGCGCGTCCGAGCTTCGCGCCCAGGCGCCCTCCCTCACCGCTCCCCTCTCCGCCCCTGGCAGGATGCTCCTTCGGCAGCAGGCCTCGGGGGCCCGGCGCGCCCTCGCAGCTCCCCTCCGTGCGTGCGCTGGCGTGCGCTGGCGCTTTTGGTGTTCGATGAGAACGCGCCGCTTTCACGCCGACTGGCGCGGAGCTGGCGTCGGCCAGCGCCGCGTGGCGTGGACTCGGCGTCGGCCCTCGTCGGTTCGCAGGAGCCGGCAGGACGACGTGGTGGGAGGCTCCCGTGAGCTGCCACCGGAGGGGGGGAGGCCTGCGCCCCCCCTCTCGAGCGCCCCGCGGCGGGTCATTTCTTTCCCTCTCCTCCTCGGGAGCCTGCTGCCGGCATGCAGGCCCCAGTGATCACAGCCGGCCCGCATGGTGAGGATGGGCCACATCATCAAGGGCGCCCTCGAGGGCGCGAAGTCATTCGCGCTTCGCGGTTCGGCTCCGACTCCCCCTCGTCCTCCTCTCCTACCCTGGGAGGCGGCGCGAGAGCGCGAAGCTATTCGCGCTTCGCGCTTCGCGCAGCGCGAAGCGCGAAGTGGGGAGCCCTTGGGAATGTGTGCCCAGGAAGCTTCAGGCCCCGGAGGATTCCTTCTCTGAGAAGGGCGGCGGCGATCGATTGATGGCTCCTCCACGGTTGGAGTTCCACCGGCTTCCAGACCCTGGATTCCATCTCCAATGCCCCGACCGTGTCGCGCATCCCTCTGATACGGGCCGACTGCAGGAACGTTTAACGCAAGGAACGATTGCATGGCAAAGCGCTTTCAGGGAGCCCCCGAGTACACGGCAAGTACTCACCCGCTCCTCTTGTTCTGGCACCGACGGCCTGCCTCTCCGAGGCCCTGGGGCCGGCACCCTTCGCTCCCTCGCTTCCTCCTCGCTCCCTCCCCCCCCCGCCCCCGCTTTCCTGCCTCCCTCCCCTCCCCTCCACCCTTGCACCCCTCCCTCCATCCTCCACCCCTCCCTCCCTCCACCCCTCCCTCTCTCCACCCACCCCTCCCTCCCTCCCTCCCTCCCCCCCCTCCCTTCCTCCCCACTCCCAGTCGGGAGATGCCGCGCGATGCGCGCGCACCCGGGGCGCCAGCCGCCGCCCCGCAGTGCCTGCGCGGGGATATATAGCACACGGCTGCGGGCCCGCTCTTCGCGCCCACCCGCAGTACCAGCGCCGGCGGCCAGGCTGCCGGCCCTGCACCCGGCACGAAGGAAGGGGGCACGGAAAAAATGGGCACTCCAGGTTTCGTAATAAAAAGGGAGGGGGTCTGGACCCTCCAAGGCAAGCCATTTCAGACCTCCCCCGTGGGAGAACCCTCCAAAACATCGTCCCCAGACCCCCCAGGCCCTCCAAGATAGCCTGGAAGAGACCCCCCCCGAAATGAGACCCCCCTCCCTTTATTACGAAATCTGGGGTACGATGCCCAACAGCAGATCCTGTTCCCTTTGACGAGGGCTCGCCCAGAAGGAGAACATCTGCACAAACAGAAACGCTTGGCGCTCCACGCGGGTTCCTTGGATCTGCGCTGGGGCCCCCCCAAGCGGCGCCTGCCCGGCGCCGCCCCGGGCGCGCTCCGCGCGCCAGGGGGGGGGGGGGTCCAGCGCGGATCCAGGAAATCCGCGCGCAGCGCCAAACGTGAACTCCAGATTTCGTAATAAAAGGGAGGGGGTCTGGACCCTCCAAGACAAGCCATTTCAGACCTCCCCCGTGGGAGAACCCTCCAAAACATCGTCCCCAGACCCCCCCAGGCCCTCCAAGATAGCCCGGAAGAGACCCCCCCCGAAATGAGACCCCCCTCCCTTTATTACGAAATCTGGGGTACGATGCCCAACAGCAGATCCTGTTCCCTTTGACAAGGGCTCGCCCAGAAGGAGAACATCTGCACAAACAGAAACGCTAGGCGCTCCACGCGGGTTCCTTGGATCTGCGCTGGGGCCCCCCCAAGCGGCGCCTGCCCGGCGCCGCCCCGGGCGCGCTCCGCGCGCCAGGGGGGGGGGGGGGTCCAGCGCGGATCCAGGAAATCCGCGCGCAGCGCCAAACGTGAACTCCAGATTTCGTAATTAAAGGGAGGGGGTCTGGACCCTCCAAGACAAGCCATTTCAGACCTCCCCCGTGGGAGAACCCTCCGAAACATCGTCCCCAGACCCCCCAGGCCCTCCAAGATAGCCCGGAAGAGACCCCCCCCCGAAATGAGACCCCCCCCCTTTATTACGAAACCTGGAGTATTCGGTTTGCTCGCTGCCCTCGCCGCCGCGGACGTGGCCCATTTGAGGCAGAAGGCCGCCTGCCGAGCAGCGGGCGCTGTCGGTTTGGGGCCACATTTGTGCTGTTGGGCATCGTAAGCACCCATGCATTCCGTACCCACTCCGGGCGTCCAAGTGGACGGGCCGGCGTGCGTGCAAGCGGTGCTCCGGGGAGGTGCACGCTGCTCGACGCTGGGCCCAGGGTGAGCGATTGCCGAGCCCATGGGTCCAGCACCCTCTGCTGATCCGCCGTCGCGCCGCCGCCTCCTTTCTCTCCTCGCGCTCCCTGCCCCCCTCTCTGGCTTCGTCCCTTGCCCCTGCCTCCCGTCCCTCCTCGTCCTCCCCTCCGCTGATTCCTCGTCCCGTGCCACGCTTCCTGGGCGGCGCGCGGCGACATGCAGCTGCAGGGGGTGAGAAAAGCATCATCCTCCATCCTCCGCGGCGGCCGGGCATGCGGGCGGCCTCGTCGCCACGGCAGCCTTGGCTTGGGACTCTTGGCCAGACAGCCCTCCTGGAGACGGCGTGGGGCCAATCTTGGGTGGGAGGAGGAGGAGGATGAGGAGGAGGGCAGGGCAAAGAGGAGGGAGAAGGTTCTCGGAGTTTTGCTGGACAGTCGCCGCCTTTGCCAACACCAGAGGCCACCAACCTCGGCGAAGGCTCGATCCCCAACAGGGCCCTCGAGGGGTCCCCGAGGGGCCCCAAGAGCTCCTGTGGCCTCTGGTGGCCTCTGGAGGCCTCCGTGGACCCGCGGAGGGGGGGGGGGGCAGTTTTGGCTTCGGGAGTCCCGCGCACAATGCTTTGGGCATTTCTGTTCCTGGTCTGCGGCTTCCTCCTTGGCTTCTTCGTCCTGTGTTGACGCTCCCTCGGTAAGCACGCGTTGAGAGACAACCGCGGGGGCATTTTCGACTTGCTTCGCGCTGTCGCGGGCGAGGCAAAGTTCGTTCGGCCAATGACTGTGTTCCAGTCGGCCGGGCTCTTGATCCGAACTGCTTTACACGCAGGTCGTTCAAAGTAGGTGTATCTAGATTCCCAGATCCAAATCTACTTCAAGCGCCTTCTTACTTCAATAATCGATATAAGTATGCTGCTGTGTTGTTGTTCTCTGGGAGGGCCTGAACCCAATCTACTTTATCCGCTTTCCTACTTCTTGTTTTTACCTACTTCTTCCGGCCGGCGTGTAATCTCGTAGCCCAGGGACCCTGGCCAATTGATCAGAGTGAGGCGGGCGATCGGTCTCACATCGTCCCTGTGTGCGTGTCTGCAGTGGGATTCCGCGGTGCGGATTCTTGTTGTGGGTTGTGGGTTGGTGCTTGTTGTTTGTTGTTGCCGTCCCACTCGAAATCCACCCGCGACCCCCTGCGACCCACCCCGTGATCCACCTTCCGACCCACCCTCGACCCACCCGCGACCCACATGCTGCGACACACCCACCCTGCGACCCATGAGCGATGCCCCCCGCCAACCACCCCGCGACCCACCCGCGACCCACCCGAGACCCGCCCCGCGAACCACCCACGACCCACCCAGATTGCTGTGCCAAGAGACACCCGTCGCCTCCGGACAGCTCGTTGTGCAGTGTGGTTTTCAATCTGCCCCAGGACATGGACGGATCCAGGCCTCGCATTGTCGTTACCCCCGAGGGGAGCCAATCGTACCCCCCACTCTGCTCCTCCACAACTTCAGAGAGGATGCCTCGGGGCGCGGAATCGCGCGAGCTCCGCCCCGCCTCGTGGTACGGTATCCACGCCTCGCGGGGGAGGAAGCGGGCACCTCCTCCTCCTCCTGCTCCTCCTCCTCTTCCTGTGGTCTTCTTCGCATTCTGTCCTCGAGCTTCGAGGCAAGCCAGCGACCCCGCCTGACTCTCCCATCCGCAGCTAAGGGTGCTGTGGTAGTAGTGGCGCTCCTCTGCCGCGTGCCCGCCGATCTGTCCTCGTCGCCGCCCTCGTCGCCGCTGCCGCCACCGTCGTCGTCGTCCTCGTCCTCGTCCTCGTCCTCGTCCTCGTCCTCGTCCTCGTCCTCGTCGCCTCCCTCATCGCCGCTGCTGCCGCCACCTTCGACGTCGTCGTCGTCGTCGTCGTCGTCGTCGACCTCGTCGTTGTCGGCGGCGTCGTCGTCGACGGCCTCGTCGTCGACGGCCTCGTCGGCGGCGTCGTCGTCGACGGACTGGTCGTCTTCGTCGTCGTCGGCGTCGGCGTCGTCGTCGTCGTCGTCGTCGCCAGGCCAAGCCGCGCGGCACCCGCGCCTGGGGCGACTGACGCGGGCGGGCCGGCGGCCCGCGCGCGAGCCCCTCGCGGGGGGGTGGTCGCGCGCGAGCGCGCCTCGCGCCCTCGCCCTCTCGCCGAGCGGGGCCCCAGCCCGCGCTGGCTGGCAGACGCCCGCCGCATGGTTCGTCTCGGCGGCGCTACGCAGAGAAGGGCGTCGACCTCGTCGTCGTCGTCGTCGGCCTCGTCGTCGTCGGCGTCGTCGTCGTCGGCGTCGGCGTCGGCGTCGACGACCCACGAGATCCTGGCGTTGCAGTTTTTTGACAGCGGGCGCTTTCTGTCCATGTCGGGCTCCGGGCCCCCGCAGAGATCGATCCGGCTCGAGAACTGATGCAGCAATGCTGAACGATGCGGTCTGGGGCTCCGGGCGTAATCTTCTGCGATGCTGCTATCTGCTCGCAACGCCGGATCTCCGGGGTCCCTCGAAGACGGAGGCTCGCCCGATCTTGGAGGGCCGAGGCCAGTGGGAGGACGAATGGCATAAACAAAGAAAGCTGCGGAGGTCCGCGCGGAGTGCTCGGGTCTGCGGTGGGCCCCTCCCCTGGCGGCGCTTGCCCGGCGCCGCCCCTGGCGCGCTCCGCGAGTCAGGGGCCGGGGGTCCAGCGCGCTGATCCAGGAAAGCCGCGCCGAAGGCATCAATTCAGCCGCTTTCGGCTTGCAGAGTGCCAGGCCGTACGGGCCAACCCCCTGGGCGTGCTCAGCAAAAGGTGTCTCAGTTGCAACACGCTGTGGGTGGGACAGTTTTCTTTGGTGGGACAGGTGGAACTCCGAGTTCGGGTACTCCCATGTCTAAGGCAGTCCAACAGGCAACGCAATCGGTCTACGAGCACGCGAAGATGGCCATGGCAGAGAAGGAGCAGAAGTTACGTGGTGAAAAACCTAATTCTTTACCAAACCACAAAAAGAGATGCTGCGCTCAAAGGCGAGGAGCTGGAGGAGGCAAAGCGCAAAGAGGCAATATCCCTCTCCCCCTCCTGTTCGGTATTACTCTTTCCCTCCTGCCTCCGCCGACGCGTGCCTCCCCCTCGCCCGGGGGAAGGGAGGAGGAGGATGAGGAGGAGGAGGAGGGAGGGATGAGGCAAGGAGCAGAGGAAGAAGGAGGGAGGGAGGGAGGAAGAGGGAGGGAGGGAGGACGAGGAGGTGGAGGAGGCGTAGGATGAGGAGGAGACGAGGAGGAGGAGAAAGAGGAAGGGAGGAGGAGGGAAGAGGAGAGCAGGAGGGGGAGGCGGAAGGAGGCCTCGCCCCCCTCTTACCCCCCTCCTCATCCCCTCCCTCCTCCTCCTCCTCCTCCTCCTCCTCCTCCTCCACCTCCTCCTCCTCCTCCTCCTCCTCCTCCTCCTCCTTCTCTTCCTTATCCTGCTCAGGTCCTCCTCCCGCCGCGCGCCTCCGCAAGGACGGAGGTGCGACTTCGCGACGACGACGACGGCCACGACGACAGCGACGACGACGACAACGACGGCCACGACGACGACGGTGACAACGACGACGGTGACGACGACGACGACGACGGCCACCTTGACGACCACGACGACGGCCACGACGACGACGATGACCTAGTCGACGACGACGTCGACGACGACGTCGACGACGACGGCGACAACGCCGATTATGACGACGACGACGACGACGGCGACGTTGACCACGATGGTGACGACGGCCACGACGACGACGACGGCCACGACGACCGCGACGACGACGAGGGTAACGAGGACGGCCACGACGTCCGCGACGATGACGAGGCCGGCGACAAAACGACGGCGACAACGACGGCCAAGGCGACGGCCACGGCGACGGCGTCGTCCACGACGACGGCCACGACCATAACGAGGTTGACCACAACGACGACGACGACGACGAGCGACGACGACGACGAGGTGAACAAAGACGACGACGACGACGACGACGACGACGGCCACGACGACGACGACGGTGACAACGACGACGACGTTGACGACGACGACGACAGACACGACAACGGACACGACGACGATGACGACGACGTTGCCGACGACGACGACGCCGACGACGGCGGCCACGGCGACGACGACGACGAAGGTGACGACGACAGCCACGACGACGTTGACGACGACGGCGACCATGTCGACGACGACGATGACGACGACCACGACGACGACGACCACGACGACGACGAGCTACGACGACGACGACGACGACGACGACGGCCACGACGACGGCGGTGAGGACGACGACGGTGCCAACGTCGACGACGACGACGACGTCGACCACGATAATGACAACGACGACGGCCACGACGATGGCATCGAACAAGACGACGACGACGGACACAACGTTGACCACGACAACGACGATGGCGACGACGACGACGACAAGGAGGACGACGACGACGACCACCACCACCACGACGACGACGACCTCGACCAGGACGACGACGACGACGAAGACGGTTACGACGTTACGCATGACGACGACGGCCACAACGACGGCGACGACGGCCGCGACGATGACGACGACGATGACGACGACGACGACGGTGGCTGCCACGACAGCCACGACGACGACGACGACCACGTCGACCGCGACGACCGCGACCTTGGCCGCGGGGGGTCCCAGGCGCAGGCCGCCGTGGACGAGGGCCTCGCGCAGCGGTGCGCGGTGCTGGCGGGGCACAGGCCGCGCGACGAGGCCTGCCGCCCCGTCTCTTGCCGCGCGCGCAGACCTCCGCAGGACGGGTCCATGCCTGGAGCCGGCTCGGGGGTCTGAGGTGGGCCAGCACGTCACAGTGCCAGGCATCGCAGAGCGGATTTCGCTCGGAAAGCAGTGGGAGGGGCCAGATTTTCCCGGAGAGTGTGGCTCGGGATCTCGGTGCGAGTGTCGTGCGAGGTTTCTTGTTGTGGGGGGGGGGCCAGGGATGAAGAGTACAACAGGAATCCACCTGAAATTCGCTTCGTTTTTCGCTCGCCGTTTCGGGGTTTGGCTTGGCAGGAGATCCATGCAAAAATCCGCGTCAGCACGTCTGCAAGGTCGGTGCAGTGAAGCACTGGTTCCAGCGGGCAGGAAGGTGGGTCTGGGTTCGAGGTCTCGGGCCCGAGCAGGTGCTCTGCCTTTGTCGGGAGGCTCCGGGGGCCCGTCTTTGGCGGCGCGGGTACCGTCCGAAACGGAGCCAGGGTGACCCTCCGCACCAGCTGGACCCTCGGAGGGGTCGCGTTCGGGGACTGATTTTGAGCGGCTTCGGCCTCCTCCTCCCCTCCTCCTCCTCCTCCTCCTCCTCCCCCTCCTCCTCCTCCTCCTCCTCCTCCTCCTCCTCCCTCCCTCCCTCCTCCTCCTCCTCCTCCTCCTCCTCCTCCTCCTCCTCCTCCTCCTCCTCCTCCTCCTCCCCTCCTCCTCCTCCTGAAAGATTATTTGCAGGGCGCCCTCGAGGGCGGCGCGGAGTTCTTCGCTCTGCGCGCGTCGCGCCGCTGCGGCTCCGATCTTCCTCGGGGGGGGGGGGGCGGCGCGCGCAGCCGTTTCGCGCTTCGCGCGCAGGGCGCAAGCGCGGAGCGCGAAGTCGGGCAGGCTGATGGGCCTGCCTTCCACCACCACCAGCAGAAGTTGGATGGGGGAAGGAGGAGGAGGAAGAGGAGGAGGAGGAGGAGGAGGAGGAGGAGGAGGAGGAGGAGGGGGAGGGGGAGGGTAATGAGGGTAACGAATCAGCGGGCACAGCAATGTGCCCCTCGCACTCATGTGCACTCGACGAGCTCAATCGCTTCCGTCGAGCTCGAAATCCTCGGCCGGAACCCTCTGACAGGATCTCTCCCATCGAATGAGCTCGAGGAGGAGGAGGAGGATCCCCTCCCCCTCCAACGTTGGTGGTGGTGCTGGTGGAAAACAGGCCCACCACAGGCGCCCGTGGATTTCCCGGGGAACCCCCCAGGTCGCCGCCAAGCTTCAGGAGCGAAGGGAGGACGTCGACACGTACGTCAGGTTCGTGCCGTGCCGACTTCGGCGTTGGCTCCTCCTCCTCCTCCTCCTTCTCCTCCCTCCTCCTCTTCCCCCTCCTCCTCCTCCTCCTCCTCCTCCTCCTCCTCCTCCTCCTCCTCCTCCTCCTCCTCCTCCTCCTCCTCCTTCCTGACACCGAACGATCGGCCGGTTCCGAAACGTCCAAGTCGTTCCACATCGAACGAGTTTGGGTCGCCCGCGGCGTTCCAAGTTGACGCTGGCGGGGTTGCCGCAGGTCGACGCGACACGAACCTACCAGAGCAGGAGTCCACGCTGTATTCGAGAGGACGCAGTGCGCGAGCGTTCGTAACACGTGGTTGGTCTCGCGGACTGGGGGGCCGCGTTCGTGTACGTGGTTATGCGCGTACGTCTTTTGTGTGTATCGAGAACCAAAGAGCCCCTGACCCCGATGACACGATTGAGACGTGGCCCTACTCAGGTTCCCGTCTTCGTACTAGGGATCATACACACGTTTTGACTGTATACTTGGGTTGCATTCTGACCACTCCCTGGGCCTACTCCCTAGGCCTCTCCCAGGGTGCATTCTGACCAGAATTTCGAGGCGAATCCAGCGGTGACGACGAGGGCCTCCCAGGAGGCCGAGAAAGGGGAAACCAAGGGAAGGGTAGAGGCACGGGCATCTTTATGTTCTCTGGATGCTATCGCGGTCCGCTGTATGCGACCTTGGATTGTCCGGGGCACCCCTGGAGCCAAGCCTGGAGTGCTTCCGCGCCTTGGCTGGCGTATTCCTGGGACATGGAGTGGCGAACGCCGGAACGGTGGAGGAGGCGGGGGAGGAGAGGCGTCCGCATGGAGCTTGCTGTTTCTGAGTGTGCCGTGGTCTGGAGGGTTTTCGGGGTGTTTTCCCTTCTGCTGCGAACTCGTCGCGAGCCGAGGGCTTTCAGAGGCGAAACTCGGGCGAGGAGGATTTTGAGGGGTGCCGCCCCCCCGCGAAGGACCCAACCATATGCAGTTGCGAATACCGCAATTGTGCTGGGTGGTGGCGGACGCATGCGGGCGGTGCCACTGGGACCTGCGGTGGAGCCCCTTATGGGACCACGAAACGCTGTATTGGGTGGGTGAAACGAAGGGAGCAATGGCTGTACTGGTTGGTGGCGGACGCATGCGGGCGGTGCCACTGGGACCTTCGGTGGAGCTCCCTATGGGGCCACGAAACGCTGTACTGGGGGGGGTGAAACGCAGGGAGTGTGCTGGGTGGTGGCGGGCGCATGCGGGCGGTGCCACTGGGACCCTCGGAGGAGCCCCCTATGGGGCCACGAAACGTTGTACTGGGTGGGTGAAACGCAGGGAGCAAGGGCTGTGCTGGGTGGTGGCGGAAGCATGCGGGCAGTGCCACTGGGACCTTCGGTGGAGCCCCCTATGGGGCCAGGAAGCGCTGTACTGGGTCGGTGAAACGCAGGGAGGAGGGAGGAGGGGGAGGAGGGAGGGGGAGGAGGAGGAGAAGCGGAGAGGAACGCGGGGACCGTCTCTTCAAAACGAGGACCCAACACCACAGGATGGTTGGGGAAAAACGGTCCCTTGTCGCAGGGAGTGCGTCGAGAACTTGGCAGGTCGACGCCGCGAGAGACTCTTTGACGCCGGGGGTGGCTGGGGCCAGACCCCTTGCCGCAGCGAGGGAGGTCAAGGTCAGCATCGACGCTCGTACATCCGTGATCGAAGAACGGCCTATTCCCAGGACCCCTGGAGTCATGAAAAAGTCACGGCGGGAAGAGTTTCGCTGTGGCCTCTGGGGACCATGACCGCGCCTCCAGACCGTGAAGAAACGACTCAGGATGAAAAACAGGTCCAGGGGAATGGGTCGAGGCGACGTCAAGGGGAAATCAGAACGTCGGGGGTCTGGGTTTTCGCATGATCATGTATGATTTGGCTGGATCTCGCCCAATCCGGCTTCATCCCCAGCCCAATTCTGGTCTCACTTAGCTGAACGGCTTCTTCAGTTTGGACGGTTGTCCCTTGCTCGTTCTCACGGAGGCCTCCTAGGAACTGCCTCCTACCATGTGCCTGGCTGCGGGGCATTTTTCCTCGGTGAGTGATCCCTGCGATTCGATTCTGCGAACAGAACAGCTGCATCGCGACAAGTCGCGAGCAGAGCTCTGGGCCCTGTCTTTTTGTTGCACTGTTCGTGCCGGGCCGATCTGTGATGGCCCTGGGGCCCGAGTGCGGGCGGAAACGCCCGTTGTGAACGAATTGCAGCACCCAGATCTGGCGTCACCCTAACCTACTAATATTCTGTGTGCGTCGCCCTCCCAGGTGCGACGCACGCACCGAGAAACCTTACAGCATATGCGTCGTGGCGGGCGCTTTCTGGCCACATCGCTCGGGAAACGATACACTACGAGGCGGCTGTATTATGTGTTCGGGGCGGACGCGCGCCTGCAAGGCGGACACATAGTACCAGCATGTCACTGTGCGTCCCGCCCCAAGGCCCTGAACGCCGCGCTGGCCAAGTGCGTCGACGGCGAGCAGGGGCTAGGGCGCTCTGGCCAACTGCGGCGCGGCTGGCTTGATCTCCCCTCGTGCCTGGCCCCCATTGGCCCCCTTCCCCCCCTGCCCACAGGGAGGTCAGAGGAGGAAAAAGTACCCATACACCCATACAATACTGCTGCCTCTCGCGTTTTCTCCTCTTTGGGCCTCCTGGGAAGCCCTCGTCGCCACCGGCCACACACGTAATTCAGCGCTTGCATGGCCACAGAATATTGTTTCCTTTTTTGGAGTCGAAAAACAAACTGCCCGCGACCCGCACTGGGCGCAGACGGACCCGAAGGCCCAGAGGGTCTGGCGCTTGTGGGTCGGAGTTCTGAGCCCAGGGCCAAGGCATTCGAGGCAGAAAGCCTGGCGTCGAGATCATGGATCCCTTCGGTCGCAAGTCATGGGGGCCTTGTGTTCAGAGGAGGAAAAGGTACCGATTCTGGTACTCTTCCCCGTTTTCCCGTGTTCGCCTTTTTGGGCCTGCTGCGAGGCCCTCGTCGCCACCGCTGGATTCGCCTCGAATCCTGGTCAGAACGCACCCCAGGAGATGTCCGGGGGAGTAGCGATATCGGCACCCTTTGATTTTCCCATGTGTACCCTCGCAATTCCGCCTTCAGAGTGCACTGGCCTCGACCAGCGTCTAGTATCCGACGAGATGGCGCCGATTTGGCGTCGATGAGCGTCGATTCAGCGTCTGTCCGTGTCGACTAGCATCGATCAGCGTCGACTCGCAAGAGCCAGCAAGACGGTGGAGACTCCTATGAGTTGCCACCGACGGTGCTCCATTTGCACGGCGCCCGTGGGGCTGGCGCACGCTGGCTGTGAGTGAAGCGCAGGCGCAGCAGCCCAATGCGACAGCCAGGCCATGGCACTTGGAGCAACTGGATGTGGCACTAGCGTAACACCCGTAGCAGTTTTGACTCGAGCCAGTTGCTCGTAACGGCCACCGCCCCAATATTTGTCGCAGGTCGCCGTATCATGGTATCTGGAATCAGCGACGTCCAGGCAAGAGTGCTTGTGCAGCTGGCGGAGAAGAACCGTGCCCTAGCAATCTGTAATCTGCAGGTCAAGGCGTTTATTCTCACAGGTATGGCAGTATTTGGTTTTTGCGAGCTCGTGCTTGGATTCATGGTGCATGGTCTGGCTTGCATGACTCCGCTTGGCTTGTGGTTAATCGTAGATGGGCTGGTATCGTGCGTTGGCTTTGCCTCTGGTATTATGAGCCTCCAGAGAGGGATAGCGGTGGCTAGCAGTGTTGATGTCCACGAATTTCTAGTCCCAGAAGGATCAGAGAGAGACGCAAGCCGTGATCTGACTGGACACTACAAGTTAGCATCGCAATTGTCTGACGCAGTTGATGTGCTGCTCATCCTTCTCTTTTTGGTGGGCTGCTACTGGTACCATTCCACTGGTTCGGGGGACTGCGCTGCGCTTTTGAGAAGCTGCGCGGGCTGGGCGCTCTTAATGAAGCTGCTGGCTCCACTTGCGATGTTTGGCGTGCTCAAGTTGCGCGGTGTCCTTGGATCTGGTCCCCTGGCGGCCGATGGCCCCGTGGTGCCCAGCTCTTGAGACAGTGAGTATTGAGGCACATGTTTGGGATGTTAGTTTGAACGATGGCTTGGGTGGTCGCCGTCTCGCTGATTCTTCTGACTTGAGCAGCGTTGTGGTTGATAAGATGTCGAGCACATCACATGTGTACGTCTCTGCGGGTAGGTGCGGGAATGCAGTGGACCAGCTCCGACAAGCTCTGCAGAGTGCGCAGCGACAAGTTGGATGTAGAGACGTGTCCAGTTGCCTGCATCCATGCAGCGTGGTTCTACCGAGGTATCCGAACAGTCTTGGTATAACCAAATATGGGCCGTCTAGGAAGCTGCTCTACGATGATGCAGCGTGGCGTAGCCGTGATTATCGCCTCGGCTTGGGCCTTTTCGAGGCTTCTTGGGGACCATCTTGGAGACTTCTTGTAGTCCTGTCTTGGTTCTCGGGATCATTTTCTATCGAAGAGGCTCGTCTGAACTATTTTGGTGCTTCCTGGGCGTGCATTCGGCAGTCCTGGAGCGTTATTTGGTCGGTCTTGGACCATCTTGGGGCTGGGGCCGTCTCAGGGCCGTCTTGGGGCCGTCTTGGGCCATCCTGTGGCCTTCTGGCCTATGTGAAGCCTTCTGGGATCCATCTTGGGCCAGAATGTCTTCCGGCAGCACCGACATGCCGAATCATGCCTTGCATTTGTTTTGGCCCTTCGCTGGAGCCCCCGAGCAAAGCGGGCAGTGTCGCAGCCCGCTGCGCGGCAGCACCAGTCGGGCCGGAGGCACCTCGAGCGAGCCATGCTTGCGGCCACCCAGATGATCTCTTCGCGGGTACACCCAAGGATGACTCAGAGAAGGACAAGTTACCGATACCCTTACCCTTCCATCGTGTTCCACCTTTTTCCCGGAAAGGGCGTGGGCCCAGGGTTCTCTTTTAGATGGTTTACCTCCCGGTTTCGACTTGAAGGGGGCCGGCGAATTTTCAGTCGAAAAATTGCGTTTCGCGCGTGCCCGCTCGAGGAAAGTGCGCCCCCCATTTCGGATCCTCAATAAAAAACAGGGTCCGCAGACCCCCGTTTTCCCTCGTAAAAAAGAAGGTGCGGAGCGTTTGTCGCAGAATCCTGCACAAATAACGCGGTCTGGAGCCCCGACCGCGACGCGTCGGAGGATGTCTCGCGCGTGCCGCGTCCCGCGCGCAGGAATTTCGAGGATGTCATGACTAATTCGTTTGGTTTTGCAGGATTTCGTAAAATGTTGGCAGGATGTCTCGAGCGAAACGCTTATTTTACATAGTTTGTTGAGGATGTCTCGAGGGAAACGCTGGTTTTGCAAAATTTGGGGATGTCTCGAGCGGGTGCTTCGCGGGGGGCCAGACTTCAGAGGATGTCTCGGGCGAAATGCTTGTTTTCGTGTCCCGCTCGCAGGAATTCCAAGGATGTCTCGCGCGTGCCGCGTCCCGCGCGCAGGAATTTCGAGGATGTCCCGACTAGTTCGCTTGTTTTGCCAGGATGTCCTTGGATTTCGACCGGAAGTCTCGAGCGAAACGCTTGTTTTTCATAATTTGTTGAGGATGTCTCGAGCGAAACGCTGGTTTTGCAAACGTGGGGGATGTCTCGAGCGGGGGCCTCGTGGGGGGCCATAATTCAGAGGATGTCTCAGGCGAAATGTTTGTTTTCACGTCCCGCTCGCAGGAATTCCGGGGATTTCTCGCGCGTGCCACGTCCCGCGCGCAGAAATTTTGAGGATGTCCCGTAGCGCGTCCCCTTGGCACTGGCACGTCGCCTGGCGCGTCCCTTGGAACGTTTCGCGGCGCGTCCTCCTGGCATGTCCCCCTGCCAATTAGCTCTGGGGCAGCTACTATGTGTTCAGGCAGTTCGAGCTTCAGATCCAGATCAGTTCGGTCAGGACTCGGATGCAAAGGAAGACTCGATCCACGACGCTATAGAGCACAACCTCGGCATGGCACATCGCAATTCAGCACGGTGCAGCACAGCACAGCCCTCGGCACGGTACATCAAGATCGATACAATCAGCATTGCACTTGCCCGTCACCCAATCAGGTGTCTTTGAGAACGCTGCCATGCGTTACATTTCTATATTCCTTTCCGGGTTCGTGGGTCGATCATGTTGGCCTCAAGGGGCCTCCTGTAAGGCCCACGTCGCTACGGTTGGATACTTGTCGGTGACACGTAAGAGCGACCCTTGTCCAGGACCTTTGGTGCGGGCCCAGAGGGGTCCCCCCAGTGCCCCCCAGTATTGGCCTCCGCGCTTGGATTTGGCCCCACCGTGACTCCCTAAAGCCGCGCACGAAATGTCTGTCTTGCCCAGGATCACTCTTGCATGCAGCCAGTTTGTTTTTTTGTTGTTTCTTTTTTTATTTTTGTTTCTTTCTTTCTTTCTTTCTTTCTTTCGTTCTCTCTCTCTCTCTCTCTCTCTTATATACAGACTCGCACTCTCTCTCTCTCTCTCTTTCTCACACGCACGCACGCACGCACGCACGCGCGCGCGCGCGCACGCACGCACGCACGCACGCACGCACACGTTTTCGCTGGGCGGGTGTATCTGCCGTGTGTGGCTCTTCATGAGAGCCTCAGAGGGTCTCATCCTTGCGGTCTTGGGGATGTCGTCCAGGGACCTGTCGATTGATTCAGCCGACATCTGGGCGACACCTGGACGAAGGGGTGGAGAGGGGTGGCCGGAATCCGGTCGACGTCACGCTCCTGAGGGGGCCGCGTCGGCCCCGCGGAGGCCCTCGTGAGGGCTCGCCTGCCTTCCGGCCCACGAGGCAGAGCCCACCACGCCCAGGGCAAGTAGCACATCCGGGGGCACAGCGCGCGGCCGCGGCGGGGCGGGCCCGGCAGCCTTGGGCGGCGGGCCCGGGCGCAGCACCTTGCCCTCGGGCGGATCCCCGCGCGGGGTGCGGTGACAACACCGTGTGGTCGGGTGGTCCAGTTGGAGGGGGAGGGGGTCCTCCTCCTCCTCCTCCTCCTCCTCCTCCTCCTCCTCCTCCTCCTCCTCCTCCTCCTCCTCCTACTACTCGTCCTCCTCCTCCCGTCCTCCTCCTTCCCCCCCCCCAACTTGTGGTGGTGGTGGAGAAGAGGCCCATCAACCGTTTGGTCAGGTGGGCTTCTGGTGGCCGCCCGGTTGTCTTGGGCCTCGGGCTGCTCTCCGAGGACGCCATGGCGACTTTGTTAGGGGACCACGCGCGAACCCTACCCCTACCCCCCACGATTTCTCAGGGGGGAGGGTGGGGCTCACTTCGCTCGGGAGTTCCCGAACGAAGTGAACCCCACCCTCCCCCTGAGAAATCGTGGGGGGGTCGCACGTGGCCCCCTATTTGTGTGGCCCCCGAGGCCCCGAGGCCGTCGTTGGCGGCGGACCCCCTGCAGGGTTTGGGGTGCTCTGGGGGGCCGAGGCCGCCGCACGGCCCCGTGGCCACCGCGGGCTCGGGGACCCCCCCAGGCCGCCTCGGCATCGTTCGGGCGTGAGCATCGGCGTGCGAGCGACGGCAAGGTCTTGGGTCGGCGTGCGGCGGGCTCTGCGCTCTCTCTCCTCGGCCCGAGGTCGTGGGTCTCGGAGCAGAGGGGAAGGCGAGGGAGGAGCGCCGAGGGGAGGAAAGGGAGCAGGGCTGGGCCCAGACGGTATCCTGGTCACCTCGTGGGCCGCTGTGGGTCTCTTGGCATCGCTCGGACGTGTGCATTTTTCTTCGGCGAGGACCATCGAGGAGCATCCTTGATCACTTGGCGAAGAAGCCACGCGCGCAACCGAACAACAAAAAGACACAGGGGGTGGACGTCCGAGCGATGGCCAGAGCCCTGTCCGCCCTCCCCGCCCTCCGGTTCGCTCCTGCGCGAGCGTGCTTGCGCCTGCCGGGTGCTCCTCGCTCGTGCGGGCGGCCCTCCTCAGACAGCTCTCCCCCATTCGGCCTCCCTCTGCCTCTCGTGCCCCAGCTGGTGTGAGTGCCCTCTTGGTGCCGCTGCTCGTTGTGACCAGCCTCGCCGGGGAGACACCTCAGTTGTGTCCCCGTCACTGGCACACAGGAGAAGTCCATTGTTCGTATCCCGAAGCTCGCGGCGGGATTTCACCGTTCGGCGGAGGAAAAAGCGTGCGCGTGTGAATGTGAAACATGTGCGTCTGTGTGTGCTTGTGATTGTTTCGACTGGCCGTGGCTTCCGGCTTGCTGCAGATCCGCGCGTGGTCTTGGTAGGAATCCCTTTCTTATGTTCCTGCTATTCCTTCCTCTCGTCAATTTGGATGCAATGCGTGGGAGGTTGGATTCAGCACCGCAGCTGGAAAATCCGTGGTAAAAAATAAAGGCAACCCCAGCAGAATCCCGCTTACTCCAGTCTATCCTTGTTTTTCTGGCTAAATCCTGCGCTCATGTTGGCATGAATCGGCTTGGTGGCCCCTTCATTGAGCGCAGTCGCCCTCAATCGTTCCTATGAAGACCTCCCAGGAGTTGCCTCCCACTATCCATCCCACATGCGTGTCCTTAGCCCTTCCCCATCCATCTCCATCTCCCCCTGTCGCTCCTCCCCTTTGCCGAGGGTGTCCTTGGTTTGGTCTGGTCGGCTGTGTCGCAGTCGGTCGCATTCAGTCGTCGTTGCGGCTCGGTTGGTTCACCTGCGTTCGCTCGATTCGGTGTCGGTGTGTTTAGGCTTCGCTGTCGGTCCGGCGGCCCAGTCGGTGTGCCTCGGCTTCGCTGTCGGTCTGGCGGCCCGGTCGGCTTCCTATCGTTGCTGTACGCTTCTTCGTTCTGCTCGGCCACCGCCCTGCCACCCTGCGATCGTCCTGGTCCGTGCGTGTGCCCCCCCCCGTCTCCTCACGCAAGAGACGGCCGGCCGTGCACTGCAGACGCATGGCGCCAGGCAAAACGTGGTGCAGTTGACCCGCACAGTAAGGATGAGCGCAGATCCAAGAGATCCGCGCGGAGCGCCACAAGTTTATGTTTATGGCGTCATTTCTTTTTTTACTACTGTTTCTCGACTTTGTTGGACGCTCTTATGCATCCTGGTGGGGGGGCACAGTCAACCCGCATAGGAAGGACTGGCAATGTTTCCCAAGGATGCGCTCTCATCCTTGCCTTCTCGGTCCGTCCTTTGCCACGTTCAGGGGCCGCGCCCCGCTCGGACAGCGTCGGAATGGGCGTTCGAGGGCCTTGCATCGGAAAGCGTCGGAACCGTCTTGTGACCGTCTTGGGCCTTCCCTCGTCGGAAAGCGTCGAAAAGCGTCGGGGCCGTCTTGGGACCGTCTTGGGCGTCGGAAAGCGTCGGAATGGGCGTTCAAGGGCCTTGCATCCTTATCGCGCATCCTCAAGATACAGGCTGACTGCACAGGGGTCCCCGCCACGCGCTGTGCCCGAACCCACGGGGACAGGGCAGGGCAGGGCAGGCCACACGGGGAGAGGCGCTGACGGACGCGACTGGATGCTGGATGTGAGGTGAGCGCACGCCGTTTGCCCCTCTGTCTCCTCGGTTGACCGATCCCCCCTTCCGCCTGGCGCAGTCTCCGCCCCACGGGCCGACCCTACCCCTCCAGATGCAGTCGGAGCGTTGACCCGAGGAACCCTGAATAAGGAACGAGGCCCCTCCTGTCCACAATGGAACTTCGACTTCTCGTCGCAAACCAGAAAAAGGAAAGCCGAAGGACCCCTGCCCGGCGGTGGTCACGTGTGGACCCTACCCCCCGACCCCCCCCGATTTGCAAGGGCGTGTGTGGGTTCGCTTCGTCCGGGGAGCGGGGTGGACCCCCGCCCGCCCCCGAGGAGGAGGAGGAGGAGGAGGAGGAGGAGGAGGAGGAGGAGGAGGACGGAGGAGGAGGAGGCGGAGGAGGAGAAGAGGAGGAGGAGGAAGGGAGGAGGACGGAGGAAGAGGAGGAGGACGAGGAGGAGGAGCAGGAGCGGAGGAGGAGGAGGAGGAGAGGAGGAGGAGGAGGAGGAGGAGGAGGAGGAGGAGATCCGGAGATCGTGGGGGGCAGGCGGGCAGGGTTCTCGCCTGGGGCCGCCCGCCTGCTCCATATGCCCGCCCCTCCTGCCCCCTGACGTCGTCCTTTCTGCTCCTCGCGTGCCGGTTGAAAGTTTTGTTCTCGAGATTCCCCAATTCGTTTGAGCTCCAGTATTTTTTCTGACCATATTCGATCTTATCCCCGCTCGCCGTCTCAATCTCAGCTCGATCGGGTTCCTATTTCTGCCAAAAAAAGCATCGCGGCGGGATGGGCCGTTTCGAGTCATCTTCGGCGCCCCCTCCCCAGGGACGCACTTCTTCCTCCCGAGCCGCTCCTGCCGGCGGCCCTGGGGGGCCCAGCGACGGCTCCCAGGGGCCGGGGACGGCCAGACCCCGCCCTTGCACGACGCGAGGGGGGGTGCGGGGGGACCCTCGCTCGACCGCTCCCTGCCGTCGCCGTCGCTCCCCTCCTCGGCGCAGCTCCCGCGCACGCCCCCTATCGGTGGGTCGGCGTCGGGCGTCCCGCGGGGGGAGGCGAGTCCGGCATCGGCAGCCTGCGGCACTGGCAGGCCTTCAGTTCCGAGATGCTCTCGGCGAAGCAGGCGCCCCGTGCCTCTTGTTGGCTTCCCCCTTCCCCCCACCCCATGCCCCTGTCTCGGGTTTTCGTTTCGGGTGGGACCCCCCTGGAGCCCACCTACTCAGCTGATCTGTTCGACTCCAGTTCGGATGCAGCTCAGCTCTGCGCGAACAAGGGAGGCCCGAGCCAACAGCGCACGCTCGCGGTCAGTTTCCGCCCACTTGCGTTGGAGTGCCGTCTCTCGGGCATTTATCCTCCTTGCGCAAAGGTGGAGCCAGGACAGGCCGCAGACAGACTTTCAAGAGTCCCTTGGGGATTGCACCACAGCCGCCGAGGATACCCCGCTGACGCGGGCGCTCAGAGGTAACCAGCAGCTCTGTACACTGTCAGCGTCTGAATGAAGAGGATCACCATCCCTGCACGCAAATTCCAGGCCCATTATGATAATCACGTGCCGCTCCAGAACGCTTGCAACAGATAGCAGCACGCGCTATCGCATGCAGACCAGGCCACGCCGCTCACACACGGACCGTGTCGACGACTGAAGACAGGGCGAGTGGTTTCGGCCTTTTGGGCGGTCGCGAGCCACTGGGCCAGACTGAGGTCATTCCCCACCTGGCGCTCGGGCACGAACCCGAACTCAATCAGACGACTGCGTCCGTATATGGCTGAAGCGCCACGCTGCGCTGGCTGAACAGAGTAAGCACGATGAGCAGGAGGAGGAGGAGGTGGTGGAATGGGCTCGGTGTACACACCACTCACTCTGTCGGCCCAGGAGCTCGGCGCATTGACGCGCCAGCTGCCAAACCTGCGGAGCGTTGGAGCGTCTGTACACCGAAGTCTTCCACCGAACGCCTTGGTTCCCGGGCCCGAGCCCGCGCCGAAGCCCCAGCTGGAGCCAGTGGCGAAGCCGAGGATCCGGCCTGAACTCGAGCCAACCCGGATCAGAAGCCCGAGCCCAGACCCGAGCCCGATCTGCGAGCCAGAGCTGGGTTCCAAGCCTGGTGCCAAGCCCGTGCCCGAGCCCGAGCCCGAGTACGAGTCCGACCACGCCTGGGGCCGAGCTCGATGCCGAGCCCGAGACCGAGCCCGAGCCCGAGCCCGAGCCCGAGCCAGCAGACGACGTGGCGCAGAGCAGCGGGGCCAGGCGGGGAATGTCCACTCGGGAGCTCGCAGGCGGTCGCGGAGCCAGGTGCCGCGGAGCCGCCCGCGGGACCTTTGGGCGTGGGCACCGCGGCAGGCGCTGGCGGCCACTGCGTCGCGCCTCCTCCTTCTCCTCCTCCTGCTCCTGCTCCTGCTCCTCCTCCTCCTCCTCCTCCTCCTCCTCCTCCTCCATTTTTTGTTTGTGTGCGTCAGGCAGACTTTGAGCGGCGCTGGGAGCGTCGTGCAATGTGAGTTCTATGGCTTAGAATGGGAGCCTGAGAGAATCACTTGCTCCTCAGAAGGACATGGTGCAACGCAGCGCCGAGAAGTGAGGAGAGAGACGAGGCGATGTGGAAAAAAGAGAGGCTCTCAAGGGAGCTTAGCCCTGATTCCCCGACAGAGTTGGCACACGCAAGGTTACCCCCCCCAGTTTGCCAACCACCTCCTCTCATCCTCAACCCCGAACCCTCCCAGGACAAGGGCCCTCATCGAGGGCAGTCCGTGCACCAAAGGCAGCTGGCAATCAAACTGCTGGCGCTCATCCTTGTGAAACTTTCGATGGCCTGATGCCACTGAAATGCAGATGCGGTACCGTGTCATATACGCATAGATATTCGTTAAAAGGTGCCGGCAATGATTGCTTGTGTGATGCAGATGCTGATGTTCTCTGAAGAGTGATATCAGCATAAAAACTCGGAGGTCCGCGCGGACTTCGAGGATCGGCGCTTGGGCCCCCTGGCGCCGCCTCCGGCGCCGCCCCTGGCGCCCTCCGCGCGCCATGGAGGGCGGTCCAGCGCCGCTCCGAGAAATCCGCGCGGACCCCAGAGTTTGTATGTTTACAGTGGGGGCGCGCATCAAGAAACCATGCGCTTTTCGTCAGGGTACCCTGGGTTTCTTCGCTCCTCGCGCTGCGAGGTGACTTGCCGCGGCCGTTGAGGAAGCTGCTGCGTTCGGTGTGCCCCGGTATTATTCCCCTCGGGTGTACCTCGCGCGCGGTTTCTCAGGGTTGGGTCTCTTGCGAGGGTCTCTTGCGGCCGCGCCCGCACTGAATGCTATTGGAGAGGCCTGACGGCCGGTGCCGCCGACCCTGATCGAAAGGGCTAGGAGTGGGGGGAGGAAGCGGAGGAGGGGGAGGGGGAGGAGGAGGAGGAGGAGGAGGAGGAGGAGCAGGAGGAGGAGGCGCCCGCACTGTATGCTATGTTTTACTCCCCTTACCATCCCACCACCTCCGCCTTCTCCTCCCGGCGCCGGCCGGAGCTCGGGAGGTGCGCGCACGGAGCCGCGCGCTCCCGGGTTGGCGGCCCGAGCCCGGGAGGCGGGTGGCGGCCTCCACGGCGGAGCTGCGCGGCCGGACCTTCCTCCGCAGCTGCGTCGGTGTCGCCTCTCCTCCACAGCTCCATTCAAGCAGTGGCGAAGCGTCCTGGCTCGCCTATATAGCCCTACCGAACAATCTTCTAAGAGCCTTTTGTGGTCTCCACGAGCTGTTCTTAGAACATCTCTGGCGGAGTCTGTCTTGCTTTAACACATCGGGCTTATGTTATCAGAGTAGTGTTCTTGTCCTGAGACCTTTTTGGGGGGTTCTTATAAATTTCGTGGCAGGACTCTAGGAAAGCCGGGACGGTCGGTACCTGCCCAATCCATCGATGTCTCCTCTCCTCCCCCTGGCGCCAGCCCGAAAACTTGGGAGGTGCGCGCTCCCTGCTGCCCGCTCAGAGGTGGGCGGCGTGAGTTTTTGCGAGATCGGCGGCCTAAGTGTTTGAGGTTGGCGGCCTGAGCTTCCTCCGCACCTCTGTCCACCGCTACCACTCAGCCACGCGCAGACGGGGGTGGGGGGAGGGGGGAGGGCTTCTTAGAAGCACCCCTGCTTTTTAGAAGGCGCGGGCCTTATCTATAGATGTAAGGCCCGCGCCTTCTAAGAAGCAGCCTGCTTCTAAGAAGCCCTCCCCCCCTCCCCCCACCCCCTTGTGCGCGCCGCCAAACCACTGCTGCGTGACGGGTGACACCTTCGCCGAGGGTCCAGAAGCTGCAGGGCCAATGTTACGATGCGCCCTGCCAAGTGGGCGCGGCGGCACACACCTGGGAGATTGGCGGCCCGGTCTCCCTTCCAGCATGCCCTGCCAGAGGGTCCCAGACAAGTCTGGCTCATGCTTGGGGCTGCCGTTGGCGGTCGACAGGCTCGGTATTGTAACGTTGGCAGTCCGCACGCTCCCTACCCTCTAGCGCCAAGGCCTCCTCAGCCCCCCAAATCCTTCCAACAACGCACACACACCACACGCACACACACACACACACCTGCACCCATCCCACAAGGGGAGAGGAGAGGGAATTCGATAAGAATAAGCATGATACTGATGGGGACGATGAGGAGGAAACGGAGGATGCACGTGCGTCACAAAGGAGGAGGTTGCTCTGCGAAGGTATGCCTTCACCGAGGCTCTTGAAGAATGGTGCACTCGCCAATGCGTGACTCCTCCAACGGATACTGCCACCACTTCGGTGCTGAAAGCCAGCGCGCGGAAAAGGATGCCCGTGCTGGGGCCTCAGGTGTTGATACCGGTAAGGAGGAAGATGGGGACAGATGAGGGCGCATGCAGGTGTCGATGTGTACGGAGATGATGATGATGTTGTTGATGATGATGACGATGATGGTGATGGTAAATGCGATGATGATGAGGATGATGATGACGATGATGATGATGATGACGACGATGATGATGATGATGATGCTGATGATGATGATGATGATGATGATGATGATGATGCGTCTGCTTTGCTATGTGCCAGAACAGGTCCACGCTCGCCAGGCCTCATGCACTACCCTCCTGGATCGAACAAGCAGGGTCCCCTCACCCGCCGTGTGGTCGCTGCTCAGGGCAATTTTTCTTGCGAAGCGCTGCAGGCCGAGTTGCCATCTACTGGTGAGAGTAGCGAAGGGATCCCTAGTCTCTTCCACACCGGGGACGTGCAACGATGATGGCGGGCGCAGGGGACCCCAGTGGCCCCCAAATGGTGCGACAAGCTGGGGGCACCTTGAGTCAGGAGCACTTCTAGCAACACCCGAATCTGTACGGACGCGTGCCTGTTGGTTTCCTTGAAGCTGCCTGCGACAGAGCCTCGGGGCCTTCGCCTTCCCCGTCGTCTCTGCCAGTTTGGCCAGCATTGTCCCCCTCCTCTTTCACCACCTCCTTCTCCTCCTCCTCTTTCACCTCCTCCTCCTCCTCCTCCTCCTCCTCCTCCTCGCAGCACGGGGCAAAGTTGGAGCCCAATATCGGAATCGAATCAGCCGTGCAAAACGTGTGCGAGAGGGGCGGGCAGTGGCAGCAGGCTCTTGAGCTACTCAACAAGAGGTGGAAGGCGAAGCAACAGCCCGACGCCATCAGCTACAGTGCTCAGCTGGAGCCCGAACGAGGTGGCGACAACGCTGGGCACAGCGCGTACGGGACAGGCGAGCAGTGTGAAGCAGGCGCTGTCGCTACTCAAGCAGAGCAGGACGGCGAAGACGGAGCCCGATATCAGCAGTTATCCGCCGCTGCACTGCGAGAAGTGGGAGGCGAAGCTGGGGCCCGAGCTGGTTAGTAACAATGCTGGGAACAGCGTGTGCGATATGGACGATCTAGAGCAGCAGGCTCAGCGTAATTCGGCAAAGGGACAGGCGACTCGGAAGCCATCCTGCGAGAAGTGGGAGGTGAACATCGAGCCCGATGTCACAAACGAGTTCTTTTAGGCTGCAGTGCAGAGATCAATTCGTGCGAGAAGTTGTGCGAAAAGCGCGAGGAGTCCGCGAGCGCCCATGGGCGGCGTGGGGCGTGGGTTCTCTTCTGGAGCCAGTGGCCACCGCCGCATCTCCGCGCAATCCCCTGCCGCACCTCATAGTCCCGCATAGTCCTCGTCCTCCTCCCTTCTCCTCCTCCTCCTCCTCCTCCTCCTCCTCCTCCTCCTCCTCCTTCCCCTCCTCCTTCCCCCTCCCCCTCCCCCTCCTCCTCCTCCTCCTCCTCCTCCCTCCTCCTCCTCCTCCTCCTCCTCCTCCTCCTCCTCCTCCTCCTCCTCCTCCTCCTCCTCCTCCTCCTCCTCCTCCTCCTCCTCCTCCTCCTCCTCCTCCTCCTCCTCCTCCCTCCTCCTCCTCCTCCCCTCCTCCTCCTCCTCCTCCTCCTCCTCCTCCTCCTCCCTCCTCCTGGGCCTGTCGGCCCTCGGGGGAGTGATCGAACTAGGAGCCTAGCGAAGACCACCACAGGGAACAAGAAGGAGGGGACAGGGGAGGGAAAGGAACGGACGATGCAGGACATCGAGAAGGAACGAAGACGAAAGAAGCTGCGATGCGGTGGCAAACCGTGCGGATGTACTCCTGTGAGAAGGTGGGCCCTTCCTCCTCCTCCTCCTCCTCCTCCTCCTCCTCCTCCTCCTCTCCTCCTCCTCCTCCTCCTCCTCCTCCTCCTCCTCCTCCTACATACATACATACATACAGGGCAGATCAAGAGTCACCAATCACAGATCGGAGCTCTTGCCCACTCAAGTGGGAAGGAAAATAATATGAAGGCCACCCTCGGGAGCACCCGAGAACCCTTGGGCAGGGTGCTCAACCTGAGTGGCTGACTAAATGATACAAAGATTCCCAGGTGCATTCGGCCCATACAGAAGCTCCCTTGGCGACTGTTCGACCACTCTCCAAGGTTTCGAAAAGCGGCATCCCTTGGGATAGGGCAGAATTCCATTCCTGAGCATGCGAAGCTGAGCACCCTTGTGGGTCGTACACGGTTCCACGAGGTGCGCCGCCCTGCCAGTGGTGTATGACCCACAACGGTTACAGTAGACAACTGCCGCACCAGTGACGCAAATCCTTCCTGCCCACAGGTCGTGGGCAGGCACAACAGGGACAGGAGGGCGCAGCACGGCAGCTAAAGATCGAGGCAAAGGCGCGCACGGGCCTCTGCGACATTTCCACGGCTGGTCCGTGGACCTACCACAGTCCACACATTGCCAGGAATTCAGACCCCAGACGAAATTGTGAGGCCCGTGGATCCCTCGAGCCAGCAACTTCCGCTGAGGGGCCCTGGGAACCCTTTCCAGCTCGCCGAAGACATCACGGGCACGGCCCCAGGGTTCCAAAAGAACCGCAAACGCGGAAAAAACGTCAAGCCAGAGTTTATACCCAGCTTCGACAACTTTGACATCCTCGGGTGAGACCTGACGGGTGGCAATTTCCTTGGCAAGAGTATCGGCCCAGCAGTTACCGAGAACCCTCCTATGCTCCTCCATCGTCCTGTCTCCTCGAGCTTGTTCTTGATGTGCTTTGATTTTGTGAATACGCCAGCCCTTCATACCTGTGAGATGGTTGACCTGTCTCCAGTGCCCTGACTGGGCTTTTCTACCATCACGAGATCGTACCGCAGATAAGGCTCCAAAAACAACAGCTCCACAGTCCTGGTAAAAATTTGCTGGCTCATCGTCCGCATCAACGTGCAGATGGGCACACGCATGCAGACGGCCATGGTGCTCAGCTAGATTGGCATTGCACGGTACATAGGCTGGTAAAACTCTTCGAATGGCCCTGAGGAGATCTCCATTTTCGGTGACTTCTGCAGCACACCATCCCCCCCTCGCAAGAAGGGGGGCGGTGGGGTGGACGACCGAACCGTCGATAGAGATTTCCATCCCAGGGGTAGAATAGACAAATTTATCAATATCCCCACCTCGATCGAGGTATTCAACCTCGTCATCTTCTGGGGGGGGGCTTAATGATGGGGGGCACGGGGATCCAGAGACAGCTGAAGAGGGGGTCAGCAGGGCCAGCCTCAAGGGCACTGGCAACAAGCTCGGGATCCAGCTCGTGACGACGATCTTCCCCAAACGGGCACTCCCAAACACGGTGGAAGGTGGTGTCTGGTGCACCGCAGTGCTGGCACTTAGGAGACACCTGATACCCTCTTTGATGCAAGACAGTGCCAGTACAGTAGCACCCCGTAAAAACCTGGCGCAGCATCTGCTTGGCAAAACTAGAATGCTTCTTCGAGCTCCACGCTCTGCTAACAGGATGGGTCCAAAGACCCCTGGCACGAATCTGGTCCGCTCTACTCGAACCAACACCTTCTAACTTGGCGACGACAACCCGATGCAGCTGATGCTGCTGGAGGTCCTGGCCAAACATTTTCTGGAGCTGCGCGGGGGGGGGCTAAGGTGAGGTTGCAAATCCTTCCACCCCTCGTTTTGACGTGTGCAGGGTCAACGAACTCCCACCCCGCACTCCTCCTCCTCCTCCTCCTCCTCCTCCTCCTCCTCCTCCTCCTCCTCCTCCTCCTCCTCCTCCTCCTCCTCCCTCCTCCTCCTCCCTCCTCTCTCTCTCCTCCTCCTCCTCCTCTCTCTCTCTCCTCCTCCTCCTCCTCCTCCTCCTCCTCCTCCTCCTCTCTCCTCCTCCTCCTCCTCCTCCTCCTCCTCCTCCTCCTCCTCCTCCTCCTCCTCCGACTGCTCCTCCTCCGCCTCCTCCTCCTGCTCCTCCTCCGTTCTTCGCGGCTCGGCAGGCGAAAGACTTGCTCGCTGGCCAGGTGTCGGAGCAGATCGAAAATCTGATGACCTTCTCGGCCGCCTTGGCGTCTCAGCAGTGCCTCTCCCCCTTTTCGGGGGAGGCGGCACGGGGTAGGGAACTCAGGATAGAGGAAGGACGACCAGGGTGGGATGGGGGGGGGGGGCGGAAGAGAAGGGGGGGGAAGAGGAACGGGGTCCAGGGGAGAGGGAGGGCGCGTGGGAGGCGCAGGACAAGGGGGGGGGAGCGGGGGGCCGTGGAGGAGGCAGGAGCAGGAGTAGGTGGAGCAGGAGGAGGAGGAGCAGGAGGATCAGGAGGATTAGGAGGATTAGGAGGAGGAGGAGGAGGAGGAGGAGGAGGAGGAAGAAGAGAAGGTGGAGCAGGAGGCGGAACGAGGCAGTGGGCCGAAGGACGGGGTTGGCAGCGGAGCGCGCCTCGGTTCGGCGGGGGGGGGGCGAGAGGCGAGGGCGAGGAGCAGGCGAGAGGAGGACAGGCGGGGAGCGGCGGCCAGCGACGAGGGGCAGGGAGAAGGAGAGAGGCGGAGCGGGTCCAGCTGCGGAGTGCTCGGCGCCTGAGCTGTCGGCCGCTCGCGGTATCGGCGATGCGGCAGGCTGCTCGCCGCGTGGGCCCGACTGCAGGGGGGCATGATTTGGCCCACCCCGCCCAGGAGCGCTCGGTTCGGCGATCTTGGGCCCCTCGCCGGCGGCCCATGGTGCCCCGCCGATCCAAGATGGATGGTTCCTCCCCTGGGCCTCCCCCCCCCCACCCCATGAATCCTCGGAAATCCAGCGGCGAGCGAGGGGGGGAGGTGAGAAGGAGAAGCCCTCGCGCGTTCTGAGAGGTGTTCGGCGTCTTCGCCGAACAGGACACTTTCCAGAAAGCCTGGGGACTTCTGAGCCTTCGAGAAGGCCCGCTCCGTCTCCCTTCCGCCCCTCGCTCGCCACCGATATTTTGAGGTGCTTGCCGCAGTGGGCCCCTGTCTGGACCACGCGGATCCTGATCCTCCAGCGCCCAGCGGGCCGTTCAGCCCTGAACGATCTCTCTGCTTCCGAGACTCTCCGCCCCTGCTCACTTCGGCCCCCGGGCTCGCCGCCAAGAACTCGCATGCTCCATCCGCGGCCTCAGGGCTTCCGACCTGCTCCCTGGGGCCAGGCTTGCGCCCCAGATGCACGTCTGCTTGGCCCACCGCCGCCCTCCCCTCCTCCTCCTCCTCCGTCTCCTCCTCCTCCTCCTCCTCCTCCTCCTCCTCCTCCTCATCCTCCTCCTCATCCCCTCCTCCTCCTCCTCCTCCTCCTTCTCCTCCTCCTCCTCCTCTCCCTTCTTCTCCTCCTCCTCCTCCTCCTCCTCCTCCTCCTCCCTCCTCCTCCTCCTCCTCCCCTCCTCCTCCTCCCTCCCCCTCCTCCTCCTCCTCCTCCTCCTTTTCCCCCTCCTCCTTCCCCTCCTCCTCCTCCTGAGTCTCCCCCTCCTCCTCTTTCTCTCCCTCTTCCTCCTCCGCCTCCTCCTCCTCCGCCTCCTCCTCCTCCGCCTACTTCTCTCCCTCTTCCTCCCCTTCCTCCTCCACCTCCTCAGCCTCCTCCTCCATGTTGCCATGTTGCCAGCGATTAAGGGGAGACCTCGCGCTCCGAAGCCCCCTGGCAACTTAGCTACTGATGCGCTGTGGCGGGACTCCCACAGCTCTCGCGCTCTCTTCTTGGGAGCGAGCGGCGAGAGAGGACGGCCAGCTGTGTAACCCCTGTGGTAAAAATCCTTTCAAAAGACGTCTGCGGGCCCTCAGTTCTGTGCTGGTGGCGGGCTCCCAAACACTCTTTAATTTGAAGGACTTCGAATTACTCCATCCACCACACCTCGAGCAAAATGCGATTCCCCGAAAACGTGCAGGTGGGGAATGTGGGTGTGGTGAAATCCCTGAGCCTTACACTGGGTGCACGGCTTATCTAACCAGGGGGCCTTCTGCCCCGCGAACTGGTATCTGAAACAGATCCTGCACCTGAGCCCCTCTTTACAATCCTCCAAGACGTGTCTGGCGTGTCCCCACTTACGGGTCGGCCTGGGTTGCTTGGGTCGAGAAAGGGAGGGAAGCTTAAAACCACCCCAGAATTTAACCTGGATTGTGGCGAGACGCCTAGAGATGAGCTGCATCTCGGCGTCTTCAGCATCGATGCTGTCAAGCACTGTCTGAGGAAGCTGGACGAGGGTGGTGGCGCCATTGGCTACCTCATCCGCGAGCGAATTGGCCAAAAGGGCCCACGGCTGAATATCATACGTGTCCCAGCCCTCATAGCTGGGATGGGACTTGGTTCTGTGAAACTCAACGGGCCCATCATGGGCCTCGAAGGCGGTCCAAAAATAAATCCGTCAATCTGGATTGGAACGAGGCTTCCACCTAGGCCCCCTCAGCGCCCCCCCGATGTACATAGTTGGAATCCAATACCAGAGTAATCTCTCCCTGAACTTGGCGCAGGGCCTGCGTGGCGGCGTACAACTCGCCGCGGTTGACCATCTGCTTTCCTGGCAGGTTTCCTCGAAGAGTGCCTACAGGTTCGTAATCTGTGTCCAAGACTGCTACTCCCCAGCCCACGCGCCTTTTCCGAGGATCTTGATTGTGTGGGCCCTCACTGGCGTCGGACCCGACCAGGAATTTGCTTTTCACCTGCATCCTTTGGAGGACGAACGTGCCAGTGGCGCGGTGGACTGGGGGGGGTGGGTTGTCATCGGCGAGTCTTGCAGTGAACTCGGCTGGCTGGAGCGCGCGGCCCCACTTGATGGGGTATGACGGAAACTGCTCCACTGCCTTCAAAACAAGATGGTTGGAATCAAGGATAGCCTCGTCGGTGCACTGCTGGAGCGCGGCACAGGTCCAGACCAGAAGCGGTGGAGGTCGTCCTCCTCTGGGGCGTTACACCTCGGGCACCTGGCTGAGACAGCTGGCTTGCACGAGTGCAGTCGGCCGCACGTCCAAACTGAACCCTTGCTAATAATGTGGAGGGCCTTGGCACATGCTGGCGCCTCCTCTCTTCGAAACTTTTGGCAAATAACCAGGACTGTAAACATCCACTCCTTCCTCAGCTCCTCCCCAAAGATAAAACTTCGAAGCCCGAGACCAGATAGTTCGGGAGATGTGTTGGGAGAACGCGTTCATGAACTCCTCCTGCCTCTTGAGGTCCCCAGTGGTGACTATGAAGCGCCTCTGATCTGGGAGGATCCATCCCCAGGGGCCCACAGGATAAACGTCAAAGTCCTGAAGGGTGGCGATGGTGGCCGAGAAGAGGGAAACAACCTTGCTCCACCTAGACTTGCCAGCGAGCCTTTCATTTGCCGGGGTCCATCGCCTGTTGATGGCGGTGTGCAGCACAGTGTCCTGGTTGACCATGTCGAACCAGGCGTATAAAATCTGCATCGGCAAATAATGGGAAGGATCCTCCTGCTCTTGTCCTTTCGGCGATAGGGCGAAGCCCGTGGAAGTACATCCATACTTGGGAACATATCCAAGCCCACGAACTAGACGCCCCCGAACGTGTTTCAACTGCGTAGCGCATATACCTTGGCCCTGGTGGCCCCAGAAGAGTTGCGGTTTGGCCCCAGTTGAGACCAGCCTCCGGGCCCTCTTGATATTTCTGGACAGGTTCTGGATCGATGCGAGCCTCTTGAGCCCCTTGCCGGACCTGGCGATCCTGGTAGCAATCCTGCGTCTCTCCCCAAGATAGTGTCCATCCCCAGATCCCGCCCAAGTCCTTCTTGCTTGAAGGCCCACCCGTGAGAGCCCAGAGTGGTACAGATGCACTGACTGACGGACTTGGCCGAGCTGACGATGCAGGGCTTGGGGGAGAGCCGACAACCTCTGGATTGTAGGGCTTCTCCTAGGTATATGATGGCCTGTGGGACGTCCACTTCGAGCATCTTGTGGAGTCCCCAGGCTCTGAGTCGTAGGTCGTCCACCCACGTTCGAAATTTCAAATGAGGGAAGCGCCTGTGCATCTCGTCGAGTATATCGCACAGGAAGGCGCGGGCGAACGAGGTAGACTGTGAACGCCCCTGCAGCATACTCTCTGTCGGGCAGATGGCGCTGGAGCAGCCAAGCGGCCCGCGGCCGTGAGCACCCGCGCGGCCGTGTGAACCATCATGCCGAGAACGAGCGGAATTGTTGGATATTCTAACTTGACCGCCATACTGCATACAGATTCGGTGCAAGCCGCATCGAAGAATTTCTCGATGTCCAACAGCGCCTCTGAAATAAGAAATCCTAGACTGGTGGCCAGCTCGGTCGTCACTTCATTCAAATGCGCTGCCCTCAAACATGAGGAGCCTCGGATAGCCTCATCCCAAAAGCCAGCTTTTTTGGAGTTCCAGGCGGTGATAGAGGGTCTTTCCAACTGGATCAGGATGCGGTAAAAACTGCACGTGTGGGCGAAGGGTCGATCCGATTCAATACTATTTGGGATGAGGCGAACCATGTTCATGAGCACCTGCACTGGAAACTTAAACGTGGTGCGGACCTGATTGAGCAGGTCGGTGAAGACCTGGCGGCCTTCTGTCGGAAGGAGGTCGCACCCCCTCGGGTTCCACAGGTCGGCACCTCCTGCTGAGTTTGTGCTATATATGCGACAAACTGAAATACTTCTTCGGGCTCCCACTGGAGTTCCTCCAAGACTTGCCTCCGAGCTTGGGCAATAAGGGGAACGGGCCATTGAGCCTCTTGTGGCCTGCTCGGGGATCCCAGGGGTGCCCAGTATTTCTCCCAATCGGTAAGCTTGTGCTGCATGAGGAGGATCGGGTCATCTGGGATGATCTGATGGGAGCAGGAGGATATTTTGATGGTGTCCAGCTCCTCTGGGGGTGGGGGTTGGGCCTTGGTGGTGGCGTGCGAAATGTTCGCCCCTTTCTTTAAGTCCTCCTCAACCCATTCCTGGAGTTCTTTGGATGCTATCCGATTTTCCAATCGTTGGTAATGCTGGTGTATCCCATCAAGAAACTTCTGAAACTCGATCCCAGTCTGAGTCCCAAAGTTCCCGAAGAAAACCTCTGGATCCTGAATGTGGCCTGCGACATACTCCCCCAGAGTGTCCCTGTTGTCCTGGGTGACGTAATCTGGGTAGGTGATGGCTGCATGGATCCTGTGTAAAAGATGCTGGATGGCTCATACTTGCTGTGGAGCTTGGGCGCGCCGCCGCAGCGCGCCCCGATCGCGTGCACGGGCAGGCAGAACGTTCCACTTGCTAGCCATGCTGGTCTCCAACCTTTCTGGCGGCTGCGGCGGGAGGAGTGCTTGGCGTTGAAATCTGACACATTGGCCCCTGCTCGGGCGACATGGGTATCCAACCCTGTTGTGGTGCATATGAAGTTCCAGAGCCCGGCTGAGTGTAGCGTACTGAAGGGTTAATTCTGGGCTAGCGTAGGCCTGGCAGTAGGGGTATGTCGGTACCAGGTGGGGCTCTGATACCTCCTCCTCGGCCTTCTCATAATACTACTCCCATGGCATGTGGGCCCCCTGGTAGTTGGCGGGGAGGGGGCTCGCACGACTGCATGCCAATATCTCCTTCTGAGCGATATCTCGAGTAACAACTCCTGCAACTCCTAAGTGTGGCTTCCAAGGTCCCTCCAAGGTGGCCCCCAGCTTGGTCGAGATGCCTAGCCTCTGATCGACGACACAGTAATCTATCATACGATATCCGTTCGAACAGGTCCAGGACGTGTTCGACGGCGTGATGATTTTCCCGTTTACCCAATAAAGCCATTTCACGGGATGGTTGAGCTCGGAAAGGGGGTACGTTATAATCGCTTGCAATGATGTAGGGCATCCTACAGGTCCTGATGTGGATGACGATTTCATGGATGATGTCCCCATTGGCCTGATGCATGCCCACCCCAGAACGCAAAAAAACGCCAATCATGAGGAAACATATCTTATCTAGGTTGATGACTACGCTCGTCCAGCGAGTCCCTGAGACTAGAGGTTCGGGGTGGCCCTGGGCACCCATGATACGCGCGTGGGAGGAAAGATGGGACCTGACACCCAACAGGATTCCCGTTTGGCCCCCCTCGGCTGTGCTGATGGCTGGACAAACGTAGGTCGTCCAACCCTTCTTCTTAAACTGCTTCCGAACGGGCCCATGCTTGCTCAGAGTGAGGCGCGTCTCTGTCAAAATGCAAACATCCGCCAAGAAGCGCGAGTCTAGGATATATGTGTTTCCCGTGTATTCCACAGGGTAATGTTGGCGAAATAGAACGTGAGATCCCCAGTGGCTCCCGTTCGAGAGCCCTTGGCCTGGGAGAAAGTGGGGTACCCGAACATCATGGCGAGGCTCGGGTCGTATTTCATGGCCGTCGTGGTGGCGTTAGTCACGAAAAGCCCCGTCAGCACGATCATCAACGTGAGCACGGCTGCGACCACCATCTTCATGCACGGCAGTCACCGCCGCCGCTGGGCTGCGGCTGCGGTCCCCAGGGTGGGGTTCCTCCTCGGCTGTGGCGGCCGCAGCACTCCCTGCCCCGCGGCGCGGGCTGGGGCCCCGTGGGGGCAGCCTCGGCGGGGGCCCCGCGGGCGCCGCCTGGGCTGGCGCGGGTGGCGGCGCCGCCTTGCCGCCGCCCATGGCCGCTGCTGGCGCCGCCGCGGGCCCACGGGCCGCGGGCGGTGCGCCGCTGGCGGCCGCGGCGGCAGCCCTGGCGGCCCCCTGCGGCCCGATGGGGGCTGCGGCCGCCTTGGGCACCTGCTGACCGTACTTGCTGCGATCTGCGGGTGCTGCCCCAAGGAGGCCTGCAGGGCCTGCTGGTCGTGCGGCGTGAGGGACTCGTCCTCGATGACGATGCACTTGGCGCCATCGGGGTTGACAAGCTCCGCCCATTGTTGTGACTTCTTCGCCGCCTCCTGTTTGGCGGCCTGCCCCTGTGAGACTGCCACGTCCAGGTTCGCCTCGGCCTGGGTGAGCTGCTCCTTGAGCTGGTCCACCTTGTGTTGGCACTCCTTCTTGTACGTAGTGGCTCGCTGCAAGGCCCTCTTGGCCAAGCCGACGTCGTGGGACAAGGCGGGGACGGCATCAGGCTTTGCTTCGCGCTCTGGCGAGGCGTCCGCTGACAGGTGCTGCTCCTTGAACTTCGCAAGCTGCGGAGGTCCGAGCAGTCCTTGGAGCGCCCCCAGGATCTTCTGCAGCTGGGGGTCCCCTGGTGTCGATGCGCCACTGTCGACACCTTCGCCTGGCTCGTCTCCCTGAAGGAGGTGGTTGCCGCACCTGCACAGCGGGTCCTTCCTCGCGCGCGCCAACCACTTCCACTTGTTGCAAACGTCGCACACCACGTACTGTTTGTTAGCTGCATCACGTCCTCCTTCTGCTCCCTTCCCGTGTCCGTTGTTCCCCGCCCAGCTGTTCCAGCGCTTGCCCCAGGCTCCATCCTGGCGGCTCTCATTGCGGCGCCTGAGCCTGAGCCTGTGAAGGGGCCCGGGTCGACTGGCAGGCTGATGCCAGACAAGCTGGAATGGCCATCGCTGTTGGCCGCGCTCGAGCGAGGTTGGGAAGTTCAGGAGCAGGCCCCTTGAGCCAAAATGGCTACGTCTCCTCCGTCTCCTCCTCCTCCGTCTCCTCCTCCTCCTCGTCCTCCTCCTCTTCCTCCTTGTCATCCTCCTCCTCTCCCTCTTCCTGCTCCTGATCCTCCTCCTCCTCCTCCTCCTCCTCCTCCTCCCTGTTTCCTCCTCCTCCTCCTCCTCCTCCTCCTCCTTCTCCTCCTCCTCCTCCTCCTCCCCCTCCTCCTCCTCCTCCTCCTCCTCCTCCTCCTCCTCCGTCTCGTGAAAGCGAACCCTGCATGCAGAACAATCCAGGGGTAGGGTTCTGAGGACGAGCGGGCCCGAAGCCAGGCCCCAGAGGCCAGAGCCAGGGCACACGAGGACGGCCAAAATCGGACGGTCGGACGTGGCCGAGGGAGGATACGCTCGAAGGACAGGCCACGCTCTCTCAGGAATTCGGCCGCGCTCGCGGGACAGGCCCCGCGGCAGAGTTGACACTCTAGCTGCTGGCTTGCGCCAGGCTTTCTTCTCGATGCATCGCCGACTCCTAGGAACAAGTCTGTGAAGTGGTGGGAAGACGACGATCCAGAACATCTGGGGAACTATTGGGCATCCTGGGATTTGTGCCTCTTCACTTGTGTGTCCCCCTGCCCCCTTCCCGTCGCTTTCCTCTCCTCCCTCCGCTCTCACCCCCGACGAGCCCAGCGCGGGCGAGCGTGTGGCCATCGCACGCGCAGCCGTGCGAGGGTCCCGAGGCTGCACCCGTCGCACTCCGACCAAGGCCTCTCCTCCCTCCTCCCTCCTCCCTCCCGCCTCCTCCCTCCTCCTCATTTCTCCCTACTCCCTTCTCCGTTCTCCCTCCTCCTCTCCTCCTCCTCCTCCTCCTCCTCCTCCTCCTCCTCCTCCTCCTCGTCCTCCTCCTCCTCCTCCTCCTCCTCCTCCTCCTCCTCCTCCTCCTCCTATTCCTCCTCAGGCTGTTCATCCGGGCCTGCTCGGTGATTGTGCTCGCTTGGTCGCAAAGCCACACTTCACAAACGGAGGCGGGCTGGTATGCACTGTGAAGGTCTGCATTGTCACAGTAGGTCGTGCGCCTCTGTGGCCTCTCCCTGAGGTGTGCCCCTGTCGGCTCCCTTGCCCGGCATGGGGCGGGCCGGTATGGACCTTTGGTGGCTGGCTCTGTTGCCTCTCGCTGAGGTATGCCCTGTGGGGCTTCGTTGCCCAAGGGTCCTCGCTTACCTCCGCACTTCACTCTTCAGGATACACCAGCTTCGGTCAGCGTCCAGAAATCGACGGGACGGCGCCGACTTGGCGTCGACCTGGCGTCGGATAGCGTCGGTGAGTGCCGGTTTAGCGTTGATTAGCGTCGACTAGCGTCGACTAGCATCGATTCGCGTCGACTCGCAAGAGCGAATCCGATGGTACGGGACGCCCCGTGCGCTGCCGCAGAATGCTCGGGTGTCCGATCTCCCCATATCCCTCCAACAGAGAAAATGCGATCGCCGGAGATCGTTACGTTGCATTTTCGGGGAACCTCGGGGAACCTCGCCTGTCCCCCAAATTGGCAGTCTTTTGCCCACGCGGGCCCGATGCGGACTCGACGCGGCTTTGGCGTGGACTCGGCGCGGAAGCGGCGCGGATTCGACACGCATCCTCGTCGAGTCCGACTCGGACTCGGCGAGGATGGGGTCGCGACGGGACGGACGAGGTCCCCCCAGGCTGCAGCACAGAGATCGGGGGGCTCGCTCGCCGCCCCCCTGGTCGGCCCAAGAGCAAGCGACGCCACCCCGCCTGTGGCCCTCCTCCTCCTCCTCCTCCTCCTCCTCCTCCTCCTCCTCCTCCTCTCCGTGTTGCGCTGCGGCCCACCAGGGGCCGTAGCGTATACACCATGCAGAAGCTCTCGCCAGACGTACTTTAGGGGAACGAAGGATGGCATAAACATAAAAGCTCTGAGGTCCGCGCGGATTTTTCGGATCCGTGCTGGGCCCCCCTGCCTGGCGCACGGAGCACGCCGGGGGCGGCGCCGGAGGCTCCGCCAGGGGAGGCCCAGCGCGGATCCGAGAAGTCCCCGCGGACCTCTGAGTTTTTATTATTCTGTCCTTCTTCGTTCCCCTAGCACTGGTACACGCTACAGTCGGGGCGCCGAAGAAGGAACCCTTTTCGTTGGGGAGGGGCTCCGTGTTCCTTCATTGTTTCGCAGTTTGCCCTAGGTGTTTTTTTAGGTTTTCGATCCGGAATCGAAGTTCGACTCGGGAAAAAGGGGGGCCTCGTTCCTTATTCGGGGTTCCCACAGGTCAGCGCCCCGACCGTACGGCCCGTTGGGTCGTAGGCGGGGTGGTGCCGTCTGCTTCCTGGGCCCGCCCGGGGGGGGGGGAGGTACTTCACGGCCGTGCGGCGCGCGCTGGTCGACGAGTGGCCGCAGGCGCGGGGCTGCGCCGTGTGCGGCGAGGCCCCGCCGCGCGCTGCCGCCGCCTGCGCCGCGCGCCCGCCGCACGCGGCGCCGGGGCCCCGCCGGCCGACCGAGGCCGACGAAGGTCAGCCGACGACGACGACGACGACGAAGACGACGACGACGACGAGGACGATGCCGACGACGACGCCGACGACGACGACGACGATGCCGACGACGACGATGCCGACGACGACGACGACGAGGACGACGACGACGACGAAGACGGCACGGCACCAGTTTGGGTTGCCACGACGCTCTCGTGCAGGAGCTCCAGTGCTGCACTCTGGTCTTGCGGCCGCGGCCGCCCACGGCGGAGGCCGTGCAGACTGCAGCGGCGCCCTCGCTCTTTGGAGCTCCAGCGGTGCCAGGTCGTGACCGAGTGGCCACCCAGCGCGCACTCGTGTTGCGTTTGGCCCTGATGCCTCCGAGAAGGCTTCTTTTTCTGATTCCTCCTCCTCCCACCCCTCCACGTCCTCCCCCTCCCCCATTCCCCTCCTCTCCCCCTTGCCCTCTCCTGCTGTCCGGCCTGCCACTGCTCCCCCACTTCCCCCCCACGATGTCTCCCCGCGGAAGGGCGGAGGGCCTCGAGGGGGCCATCAAGGAGCCTTCGAGGAGCCTTCGAGGAGACGTCGAGGAGTCTTCGGGGGGCCCTCGGAGGGACTCCGTGGGCCTCTGGGAACCTCCTGGGGGGCCCTCGGGGAGCCAACTCTGGTTTCGAAAGGGGCCCGTGCCTGCTGGCAAATCCGGACACCGTGCCACCGCAGCAAGGCAGCAGCACAGCATCAGTGAGGCTCACTTTGGGGCCCGCTCACTCCTTGCTGCTACCTCCCCCCTCTTGAACGCATCGTGGAGGCTTCTCTGGGGCCTTTCTCGCCCTCCTCC